AGTATCTTCTATGCTGAAGCAGAGAAACTACTAATGAACTTACTGAGGGTCTGCTCTCATCCCTCTATGGTCGGACATAACCAGCCATTCTCCTTCACGAGGTGTTCCATGACTCCCCCACCTGGACAGCATCTGGTCCTCCTCTGAACTCCTCATTCAACAAACATGGCCTCTGACAGATGCTAGTCACTGTATCACTTTTTAAGAAATTTCTCCTTTGGGGCGCCTTGGTGGCTCAGTCAGTGAAGCGCCCAACTCTTGATTTCAGCTCAGGTCATGATCTCATGGTTCGTGAGTTTGAGCCCCATGTTGGGCTCTGCCCTGTCAGTGTGGAGCCTGCTTGGGATTCTTTCTCTCCCCCTCTCTCTCTGCCTCTCTCTGTGCTCTCTCTCAAAATAAATAAACTTAAAAAAATTCTCCATTACCCCTTATGAATAGTTATTTATGTTAGAAGTGGACATCAGGGGGTTGCCTGGGTGGCTCAGTCAGTTAAGTGTCCAACTTCGGCTCAGGTCACGATCTCACGGTTTGTAAGTTCGAGCCCTGCACTGGGCTTTGTGCTGACAGCTCAGGGTCTAGAACCTGCTTCAGATTCTGTGTCTTCCTCTCTCTGCCCTCCCTCCTTTGCTTATGCTCTCTCTCTCTCAAAAATAAACACTAAATTAAAACAAAAAGAAGTGGGCATCATGTTTGATTTAGCTCTCTGTCTCCAGAGTGACTACAACTTTTATTTAGCCTTTTCTGGGAAGTCAATAATAACTTATTAAATTAAAAAGTTAATGAATTACAAGAAACTTTTGAGCCCATTGGACTTTTTCTTCTCTCTTAAAGATGAATGGTTATGCTATGAATTTAGTGCAGAATGCCAATTTTTAATAATTTAGAAATATTATAGACTTCTCTAATTAATCACTATTAAAAAACAAATTACATTAATTAATCACCTTTTCATTATAGTAAAATCCAATTGGATTGTAATTCTGTAACTATCTAGATACCAAGATCACATTTTCACTTTTTTTTTTTTAAGTTTATGTATTTATTTTTGAGAGAGAGAGTGAGTGTGACCAGGGGAGAGGCAGAGAGACAGAGAGAGAGAGAGAAAGAGTCCCAAGCAGGCTCCATGCTGTCAGTGCAAAGCCTGACTCGGGCCTTGAGCTCACAAATTGTGAGATCGTGACCTGAGCGGAAATCAAGAGTTGGACACTTAACTGACTGAGCCACCCAGGCACCTCACATTTTCACTTTCTTATAACATATTTTTCATGTTTTATCTTTATTTTTTTCTAGCTTTATTGAGATATAACTGACATATAATACTGTGTAAGTTTAAGGTGTACAACATATTCGTTTGATACACTTCTATATTGCAAAATGATTATCGCCACCACATTAGCTAACACCTCCCTTAAGTCACATGATTACTACTTCTTTTCTGTGGTGATGCCTTCATCTTTAGATGGCATCTAAAGTAAACTATAAGAACTATTTCCCAAAGTACTCCTAAATCATAGTTGTTATAAACAGCTATTGATATACTGATATAAAAATGATGGTAGTGGGGTGTCTGGCTGACTCAGTCAGAAAAGCATGTAGCCCTTGATCTCAGGACTGTGAGTTCGAGCCCCACGTTGGGTGTAGAGATTACTAAAATAAATAATGTGCAAAAATATAAATGTGCTTCAATCGCTGTGAAAAATAGCACATTTTTTTTATTTCTGCATTTTGAAAAAATAAATCTGATTACTTTAAACAGTATCAGGTAGGACAATATGTAAAATTTCAAAACCTGAAAGTACAAACTTCAATTCTATACTCTTGTGGTCAAATAATACTGCCACAGTGCCAGTGTAAGACCATTTTAATGAACAAAGTTTTTGAAGGTTGATAGTTTTTTTTAAGTTTGATTCAAAGAATCCTTTATTTATTTAATTACAAAAAATTTTTTAATGTTTATTTATTTTTGAGAGAGACAGACAGAGCATGAGTGGGGGAGGGGCAGAGAGAGAGGGAGACACAGAATCCGAAGCAGGCTCCAGGCTCGGAGCTGTTAGCACAGAGCCCTATGCAGGGCTTGAACTCATGAACGGTGAGATCATGACCTGAGCTGATGTTGGACACTTAACCAACAAAGCCACTCAGGCGCCCCGAAGGTTGATAGTTTCTTAAACTTGTCCATAAAATGGTAATATGGATAAAAAGGATAGCAAACCAACAAAAGATCTTTCTTACCAAGCAATCAAGCTCTTCATTCAGACTGTGGTACTTATTCCGTTTGGCTCCCAGTAAGATAGGTACATCTCCAACATTCTTGGTTTCATCTGAATCAAAGCCTGTAACCTGAGATTACATACATTTGTGCTCACTTCCAACACTTCCACATTCCTTGGAAAATTTGACAATAAATACTTTATAAGTTTAACAATCAAAGAGATCTTCAATGGCTAGAATCATAGATGTATAGAACATACAGCTGGGAGGATTTCAACACATTTCCCAGAAGAACATAAATATCTGAAATTGTATTTTGTTAAGGACAGTGCACAGTAAATATTACACTCACCTCAGTAACTCGATCTTGAAATGCTTTTTCATTAGTAATCAACTCTCTAAAAGCTGTGATTCTGTCTTTATGTTTCAGTAGCTAAGAAGAAAAGCATTTTACATTTCAGAAAAGAAGACAAAATAAAACTACATTCTATAACATTTATAATAAAATCATCAAATCATGCACCATCTAATCCCTGGTCTCCAAAGATCTACTGTTTTTACAGCTCATGTACAGAAAAGCGATCACACAGCAGATCTGAGACTGCTCTCCTTAGAAAGGCCTGCTAGTCAGATTGCTCCCTCGGGGACTGGAAACTTGGATTGCAGGAGGATTTCCATTGTTCCATAATATGAACAGCTCATTGTGCCTCATCTATCTGTACAAAGATATAGTGTTTACTGAACACCTCTTTCCTTCTGGAAGGTCTGGAATTTTAGTATGTGCTAGTCAGAGGTGCTTATGTGAGCAGCCCCCAATAAAAATCCTGCGTGCTGGGTCTCTAATGAGCTTCCCTGGTAAAAACTTCACATATATTGTCACAGCTCATTGCTGGGAAAATGAAGTGCATTTTGCGTGACTCCACTGAGAAGGAACTCTTGGCAGCTTGAATCTGTTTTCCTCTAGACTTTGCCCTGAGCACCCTTTCCAGGCGCTGACTTTGCTCTGTATCCCCTCACTGTGAAACAGAGCCTCGAGTATGACTCTATGCAGAGTCCCACGGGTCCTACCAATCAATGAACCTGAGGGTGGGCTTGGGAATCTCTGGGAGCTTATGCCAATATTCAGTTGTTTTTACAACCAGACTATCAGAATTCTTTAGAGGAAAAAAAGAAACTACCAATTTTTCCTAGGTGTAATTTATAATCATTTCTTATTTGTTAATTTGTTCCTTCAGTATAATAACAATAAATCTTAATCTTCAAAATTCAAACTTCTGTAAAAATCAGTGAGGTAAACTATGAAGCACAGAATTATTATTATGAGCAATTTCCAATATAAATAGAGAAAAAACTTGAACGAACCTTCATTTAATTATCACCCAACTTCGACTATTGACGGTTAGCAGCCAATCTTGTATCATTTATATCCCCAACCATGTCTTCCCCACTCCAATCCTCCCCTTCACTAAGTCAAATCACAGACACCACATCATTTCACCTGCCAATATTTCAGTAAATTTACCAAAAGAACACAAACATCTGACATTGTATTTTTGTAACATCCTGCTCCAATCCTCAATGGGGCCTATTTTTTTTTTATTTTTTTTTTACATTTATTTATTTATTTATTTTTGAGAGACAGAGAGAGACAGAGCATAAGTGGGGAAGGGGCAGAGAGAGAGGGAGACACACAATCTGAAGCAGGCTGTAGGCTCTGAGCTGTCAGCATAGAGCCCGACGCGGGGTTCGAACTCACAAACCGTGAGATCATGACCTGAGCCGAAGTTGGACGCTTACCCAACGGAGCCGCCCAGGTGCCCCATCAATGGGGCCTATTTTTGAAGGGTGGCTTAAAAAATGGAGGATGTATCTGTTTCTCTGCATATCTGTTATTCCTTGATCCTTTTCTCTACAGGTTAACTAGAAGACAAAGAGACTCCCCAGAATACCTGCATAAATTTCTACCCACACTAGTTCAGAGAAGTAATTTCCTGATAATATAGGACTGAGTTTGTTACTACAATCCAAGATCCCATACTTGAGTATATTTTTATTCCGTTAGCTGATAAACTTGTCACTTCTGTTTTCTTCTCATATGAAAACTGGCAGAAGTTAACATCCTGGTATTACCTTCCCCATTTCACTTACTCTCTTAATCTGTCCCTCCATCGCTGTACCACTATACCAAGAAAAGAATAATTGAAGAAATTCCAGGAATCTCTTCCCTTATGCTTGTGCCACTTGAAAAATAAAATGACTGATTTTCAATGTATCCACTATTCCAAGTGATAAAGTTTGAAACCACTATCGGGATATCAAAATACACTGTTCTTCAGGAATCTGTAGTGCTGGGACGCCTGAGTGGCCCAGTCGGTTAAGTATCTGACTTCGGCTCAGGTCACAATCGCGTGGTTTGAGTCTGAGCGTCACATAGGGCTCTGTGCTGACAGCTCAGAGCCTGGAACCTGCTTCGGATTCTGTGTCTCTCTCCCTCTCTCTGCCCCTCCCTGGCTTGTGCTCATTCTCTCTCTGTCTCAAAAATAAACATTAAAAAAAAAAAAGAATCAGTAGTGCCATGCAAAAGTGGAAAAAATAATCATACCTTTTTTTGGTAGATGAATAATATTTTGTAATACAAACTTAAGTTATAAAACAAGCCAAATGTTGAACAATGTATCTCCTTAGTTAGGGCCATAGTAAAACTAATCTGGTCCTCCAAAATGATTCTTTTAAAAAAATCAAAATTTGGAGAGTTTCATGTTACCTTTCTCTTTGACTATTATTTTCACCAAAAATGATACAGGTTTTAGAATAAAGAATAAATACAGTACCTTTTTATCTAAATTTTTCTTTTTAAGATGGAAGTGCTTCAGTTTTTGTAGCATTATATCACTAATTTTCTCACAATCTTTGAAATATTCAGCATCAGTAGTAGTAATGTCCTAAAGGGTAATAGTTTGAGAAGCTATATTAAAAAGTTTTCATTAAAGCTAAAAGAAGGACAGAAAACACACACACACACACACACACACACACACACACACACACACACACACAATTCCATAATACCTGATCAAACCAAAAGAGATAAAATAATATTGAACTCAATTACTCATCCATAAGACACCTAATAAAGGGTTATAAGAAAGAATTCTTATAGATTCACACTTGTATGTAAGTGGTTATTGGGACAGATTGGTATAATCTCTGGGAAGTTAATACTCACCTATAATAAGGTGAACATCTCCTGTTAGCCTAGCCCGGTCAGTTTACAAATCCAAATTTCAGCCAAATTGCTATATCTAACAGCAGAGTAATCAGACATCCCCAACAATACTGAAGCTCTAGGTGCCTATAATGAAGGTATTTGTATGTATAACCTCAGGGCCAAAACTGTGTGCATGAGTCAGACTGCCTGAGTTTGTATCTGAGTTCTGTCGCTTAACCCTATGTAAGACTTTGGACAAGACACCCTACAGTTCTAAGTCCCAGTTTGTTTTTCCATGTTTTGTTTCCATTTTTTTTTAAGCCTGAGAATATAAACACTGACATAAGGATTGGATGAGATAACCCATGAAAGGCAGGGTCAGTAAATTTAAATGCCTCCAAGGACAGGTTGGAAAGTCAACAAATATTTGTTGAGTGCTGATTAAGGGCTTCATCAGAATTAGATACGGGGCATACAACATACCACGTTTCTGATGTTGAAGCCTTCCACTCTGGTGGGGGTGGGAGACACAGAATAAGCAAACAGATAATATTTGGTGTGGGATGACATCCACCAACAAGAGGGATGAGAACACACTCTTCATGGGGAGGTGTGGTGGAGAAGCAGCCTCCAATGACATGGTGGAAAGCCAAGCCTTACAGTAAGTAAGCAAATGTTTGAAGGAACAAAGTAGGCTGGAAAAGTTTGCAGCTAAGGAGAGTCTGTGCCACATTCAGAGTCACATATATAAAAACAAAACGTTAGGTGGATATAGTCTGCATGCTGCCACTTTGTGATCTCTGCATAAAATAATCAGCTCAGTGTCTAGCATTAAATAAATGCTAGCATTCAACAAACTTTAGCTAAAACACAATAGAAATAAGGGTTGTGTTGGATCAGGAACATCACAGACCATGCCCCCCAATTTGGGCTCTGATGACTACACCCAAGATCAAAGAAATGGACAATAATGAAGAGGAAGAAAGACAGCTAGCTCATTTGAGAAGCTATCAAATGTCATGCTCTGTACTCTCATCTCTCATTAAATGTAGTGCTTGTAACCTCCCAGGGCAGGGGAAAGTATCATTTCCCCTACTTACAATGCAGAAACTGAGGCTGAGAAAGGCAAAGTCACTTGGGCCAAGTCACAGAGCCAGAAAGTGGTGAAGTCAGAATTTAAGCTCACCTACACTAATTTCATTCTTCATTCCACTAATGTATACAACTCCCCACTGCTCTCCCCCTGCCCAAAAGCTAAATTTTAGATTGGGCAAACAGCTCCATGATGGGAACGCTCACTAATCACTAGGAACCAACTGAACCAGAGAACAAGACTATCACTCTTATAGAGTTTCCATGACATGTAAGAAATACCGAATAAAAGGTTTTCTCTGATGCCTTTATCTTGTATCTGATTATATTATTTTACTTGTGGGAATTAGGTGTTAAAGAAAGATAAAAAGAAGCAGGAGGAGGTCTGAATTTTGTCTTCCATTTTTTTCTCCCATGACTTAACTCCAACGCTTTATATTGCTTCTTTGGTTTAGTCCAACTTCTATATTTCTTCCTTCCCCAATAAAAAATATGAATTTTTTAAATTACCTGACGTGTGAGAAGTCCTATGACCAGAGCCAGAAGACTGTGAAGTTTGGAGACCAGCTGAGAGGTTCTTTGCACATCTGGGGGATTCAGGCTATCTTCTTCACAAGGTGAGCAATTCAGGAACAAATTAGAATGTATCATCTTTGCATCCTATGTGTACACAATTCAGAGGTGTTACAATAAAGACAGAGAGTCTGGATTGCTCTTTAAGTAGAATTCTGAATTAAATACCACTCTTTAAAACTTTGAGCAGCCCTAACAACGTGGCACTCAAATTTAAATTTGAAGAGATAATGGGACACCTGAGTGGCTCAGCTGGTTGAGTGTCTGACCCTTAATTTTGGCTCAGGTCATAATCCCAGGGTTGTGCGATCGAGCCCTGTGTCCGGTTAAGAGTCTTTCTTTCCCTCTGTTCCTCTTCCCCACTTGCTCATGCTCTCTTTCTAAAATTAAAAACAAACGAAATTGGAGATAAATGTTAATATTTAAAAAAAACAAAATTATGAGCTGTGGTTCTCAAACTTCTGATTCTCAGGACCCCTTTATAGACTCAAAAATTAATAAGAATCCCAAAAGCCTTTTGTTTATATGGGTTATATCTATCAATATTTTTTGTATTAGAAATTATGACTGAGGGGGTGCCTGGGTGGCTCAGTTGATTAAGCGTCCCACTCCAGACTTTGGCTCAGGTTGGTGGGATCGAGCCCCATGTTGGACTCCACACTGACAGTGCAGAGCCTTTTTGGGATTCTTTCCCTCTCCTTTCTCTCTCTGCCTCTCCCCCACTGGTGCGTGTGTATGCATATGCTTTCTCTCAAAATAATAAACTTTAAAAAAAAAGAAATTATGACTAAGAACATTTAAAAATTATGTTTACTGGGTCACCTGGGTGGTTCAGTTGGTTGAGCATCCGACTTTGGCTCAAGTCATGATCTCACAGTTCATGAGTTTGAGCCCCATGTCAGGCTCTAGGCTGACAGCTCAGAGCCCGGAGCCTGCTTTGGATTCTGTGTCTTCCCTCTCTGCCCCTCCCCCACTCTCTGTGTGCATGTTCTCTCTCTCTCTCTCTCTCCTTCTCAAAAATAAACATTAAAAAAATAAAATAAAAATGTTTACTAATCTATTCAAATAACAATAAATCCTTTGTGTCAACATAAATAACAATTTTAATATGAAATTACCACATTTTCCAAAGGAAAAAATTAGTGGAAAGAGTGGCATCTTTTACATTTTTGTAAGTATCTATAATGCTGACTTCATAGAAGACAGCATGATTCTTACATCTGCTTCACACATTGAGCAGCCATAAAAGCAATGATCAACAGTTTCTAGAAAATGCCACTGGGAGCACTTGTGAAAAAAATGAGACTGGCAAGGGCATAACATCTTCCTATTACTATGAAAATACTTTTGATCTCATGGACATTCCCAGACCACACTTTTGAGAAAACAGACCTAGAGTTCATGAAAAGCAAAACTAAAAGCAGAGTAAGGATGACTTAGGGATATTAAAGAAATTGATTAGTCAAGATAAAACAAAGAACTTTCCTTTTTTAAAAAAAAATATTTATTTGGGGGAGAGCATGAGCAGAGGAGGGGCAGACAATCTCTGGGCTAACAGGCTGACAGCAGTGAGCTCAATGTGGGGCTGGAACTCACAAACTGCAAGATCATGACCTGAGCCAAAGTCAGACCCTTAACCAAATGAGCCACCCAGGCACCACTACTTTTTTTTTTTTTTAAAGAAAATTCAAGAAAAAAAAGATATACTGTGATAAACCTCTGTACAGTTGTACTAACTTATTCAGAGTTTACCAATTCAAAATTTGTCATGATTTGGTTAGCAGCTAAAATTAAGGTCATCTCTGCTTAGGTTAGTGGTTCTCAAAGTGTGACCCTGGGATCAGCAGCATGGGTGAGACTTGGGATCTTCTTAGAAATGCACATTCTCAGCACCACCCTCCTCCCTGCACACCTACTGAATCAGAAATGCTGAGGTGGGCCCCAGCAATCTGCATTTTCACACCTAATGCTGATGAATGCTAAAGCTTGAGAACCACTAGCATAGAAAATCCTAACTTCTTTCTGGAGAAAAGAGCACAGACAGAATTTTTTAAGTATAAGACAATATTTTCCTAAGAATCATTAAAAAAATTAGCCTTCTTCTAAAAAAGTTTTTAATGTTTATTTTTGAGAGAGAGAGAACAGAAGCAGGGGAGGGGCAGAGGGAGACAGAGAATCCAAAGCAGGCTCCAGGCTCCAAGCTGTCAGCACAGAACCCGATGCAGGGCTCAAACCCACGAACTGTGAGATCATGACCTGAGCTGAAGTCACATGCTTAACCAACTGAACCACCCAGGTGCCCCCAGATTAGCCTTCTTTCTAAATAGTCAGAATTAATAAGGCTGTACTATAAATAATATTTTTAAGTTTATTAATTTTGAGAGAGAGAGAATGCACATGGGAGGGGCAGAGAGAGAGAGAATCCCAAGCAGGTTCCATGCTGTCAGTGTAGAGCCCAACTTGGGGCTTTATCTTGCCAACCGTGAGATCCTACCTGAGCCAAAATCAAGAGTTGGATGTTTAACCAACTAAGCCATGCAGGTGCCCCTATACTATAAACATCTCAAGACAAGCCTTCAAAACTGAAATAGATGTGCTCTGGCTTATGAAAATGATCACTTCCAGGACATGCTTCCAGGTTCTTGTCTACCAAGTCATTTGAACTGCATAGAATACAAAATTACAGCCTCTCCAAATGTACTGTTATGAGGCTTTCATGTTATTTTTAACAGATGTTAACTAGATTTATTGTGGTGATCTCTTTGCAACACGTACAAATAACGAATTATGTTGTAAACTGGAAACTGATGTTATGGGTCAATTACACCTCAATCAAAAACTGTATACTTTCATAAAATTAATATGTGATATAATATAGTTTTGTTTTACTTTGTAAACCAAATACGTAATTGCGTTATTTAGTTTTATCACTGAATAGGCAGAAGTGACATGAAAACATAGAGATCCCCACGTAGAAAACCCTTTCTCAAAGGATACTTCAGATGATTGATCATAGGTACCCAGAAAATTCCCATGTTAATTTTCATCTCTACCAAAATAGTCACAAGAGGCCAGAAATAGCCTCTTTAGGTGAGTATCCAAGAAGTAGCTGTCTTTAATGTGAGTACCCAAGAACCGGAGAAGCTTCTCCAAATCTGTGGTACCTTTTCCACTCTCCCATTTTTTTGTCGTTGTTAATAATTCTTTCTGCTGACAAAGTGTTGCATCTAAATATGCATGAGCAGACTGTTAGAAACTCCTGAAATTCTGCGTTAGAGATTCTGAATTTGTGACAATACCTTTGTGATATCTGCCTCCACTGCCTCCCCAGAGTCCTCCTTTAAATGAGCCGTCTCAAACCAAGGGGCATAATTTTGCTCCTCGCTCCCTGCAATCTGCTGCTGTAGCCTCACATTTTCTTGTTTTACTGAGCTGACCTGCTGCTTCAGTTTGGCATTCTTCCCCTTCTCGTTCTCAGGTATGAACTGTAAAGTATTAAATTGAGTGAGCAGTTTCTCCAGTCTTGATTTCAGTTTCTGTCGTTCTTCCAGGTTCTTCTTTTCATGTTTCTGAAATTCCTCCCGTAAAGACAGGAACTCGTGCTCTCGGGTCTTCTTTTCCCTTTTCAACAAGTCCAAAGCAGAAGTGGTGGCCTTTTCCAATTCTCCTTTGAGCTGCTTCAGCCTCTCTACCTCTTCTTCTTTCTTACTTAAGGTTCTGTTCATCTCCATGCACTGACTGACAGTTTTATCTTTCTGTTGCATTTCAGTCATGTACCTTTCCTGTAGGTGAACATAATTGTCCTTGACCTCCTTAAGCTCGAGCTGTAAGGTTTCCTTTTCATTCCTAGATTCCTGGAGATGTTTTTGGGTGTTAGTCAAAACCTCGTGCAAGTTCTGCAGTGTCTTCTCGGTATCATTCTTCTCTAGGATCACTCTGTATTTGTCTTCAATTAGTTCTTCCATCTTTTCCTTTAGCTTATTTATGTCAACGAACACCTGCTGCTTGGTAGTCTGCCTCTGGAGCTCTTCGACCTTCTTCTCTAAATACTTGTTACTACACTGCAGGTCTTGGATCAGAATTTGCTGCCTTTTGTTAGTATGTTTTAATTTCCGTAAGACTTCATTTAAAGCCATGTCCTCTTCCAGAGGTTGTAAGCTCTCCAAACTCTGCTCCATGTCAGGTGCCTTGCTGTCCTCCTGAGATGCTCCACTACTCCAAGAAATGACTGCAGGAGACCAATATGAGACAGTCCCTGGTCTGTCCATGTCCTCCACTGTGACTGCCTTTTGGTGACTGACTGACATCTCAGGAATATCCCCGAAACTCTGGATTCCTTTCGAAGACACTGAAATCTTATAGTAAATAAAATAAGTGAAAAAGAGTATAAAGATCATACATTTTGAAATCAGAGCTGGCCTTAAGTCCTAGGTCCCTAGTTTGGTTTTCTCAGCTCTAACAATGATAATATCCACTTCCAATAATACCTATTTAACAAACATACTTAGGTATTAACTGCTAAGTATATATATAGCACCGATAGCAGAGCACAAAGAGTAGGTATATGATAGGTATCATATTTACTTTTACAAAAGAAAAACTCAGCTTTGATACTCTGACCACTTTCTATGGTGCGAAATTTTCTGAACACATGTACTTTCTTTGACTTCAAATGAATTAAAACAAATTTATCAATTACCCTACAGTCTGTGAGGCCTCTTCTGAATGAAGACTACCTCTTTCTTTTAATGTTTATTTATTTATTTGGGGTGCCTGGGTGGCTCAGTCGGTTAAATGTCTGGCTTCAGCTCAGGTCATGATCTCACAGTTTGTGAGTTCAAGCCCCACATCGGGCTCTGTGCTGACAGTTCAGAGCCTAGAGCCTGCTGTGGATTCTGTATCTCCCTTTCTCTGTCTGCTCCTTGCCTACTCACACTTTGTCTCTCTCAAAAATAAACATTAAAAAATAAAAAATAAAAAATGCTGTTATTTATTTTTGAGACAGGGAACAGACACATGAGGGAGGGGGAGCAGAGCGGGAAAGAGAAAATCCTAAGCAGGCATGAGGCTCAGTGCAGAGCTCAATGCAGGGCTCGATCCCACAACCGTGAGATCATGACCTGAGCTGAAATCAAGACCTGGGTGCTTAACCGACTAAGCCACCCAGGCTCCCCTGAATGAAAACTACTTTTATTGCCTGCTAAACCATTATCTCATTGCTATGACTCCTGTGAATGTAAGAATGTCAGACGAACATATTTTGCCATTGACTTTCTGCCCACAACACAGGTTTTAGGGGCTTTTTCAAAGGACAATAAGTTGTAGTAAGAAAATACTGAAATGAATATGACATTAAAAATCCTGTAAAAGATATTTGCAAGGGTGGGCTATATAACTTCCTAGAACTTAGAGGTATTGGACCCCTGTATTTTTTTTTTTTAATGTTTATTCATTTTTGAGAGAGAGAGTGTGTGAGCCCAGGAGGGGCAGAGAGAGAGGGAGACAACAGAATTTGAAGCAGGCTCTAGGTTCTGAGCTGTCAGCACTGAGCCCTATGCAGGGCTCGAACTCATGAACCTGCCAGATAATGACCTGAGCTGAAGTCGGAAGCTTAACTGACTGAGCCACTCAGGTGTCACTGGACCTCTCTTTTAATGGTTTACTATCATTCTGGGATAAAAACAACTATCCCTACAGAGGCCTACAGGTTCTACTATCTGGTCTTGCTGCCTAAGGCTACCTTTCGTCCTCATCTACTACATGCCTCCTTCAATCCAGGCTTCTGTCAGGTACTAGTGGGTGCCATGTTCCCTGAAGCCACAGGGTTTTCCACATGTTACTTCTGCATGGAATGCTCTCCCACCCACAGTTCCTTAACTCCTAACTTATCCTTCAGAGCTCAGCTCAATGACCACTACTTCCGGAAGCCTCCCCCAAACTCGCTGACTAGGACAGTAAGACTCCTGTCATTTTATTCACAGCTCTTATCATCCTTGCAGCTTACAGTTTATATGTAATACTATAGCACGTTATCTACACTTTACATACACTTTATATGTAACCACTCAGAGCCTTATCATAGTTGAAAGTTTACATTTATTTGTGTGATTCTTTAATGTGAGTCTCCTCTACTAAGGTGTTACTTTCATGAGGACAAAAACCACATTCTTTAAAACCATTATATAATCAACACATAGCATAGAGCCTAGCACAGAATAGGTTCCAGAAAGTATTTATTGACTGAAAAAATGACTAAATGCAGTGGAAATAGGAAGGAGCAATCTTGAGAAATGCTAATTAAGCAGATTTTTTAAATGCCATTTTCCAGAATCAATACAGGGAAATAAAGTTCTCTTTTAAATAATGCTTCCAAATAAATGAACAAAAAAACTGCTCATACTTGGAAATGAAAAATAGTCATAGCTTTTTTCATCAGACTTAAAATAAAAAGGTATTATTTTTACTATTCTTGGATTATATTTGCCCATACCAAGTCTTAAAACTATTACTTTCAAAAAATTTTCAGAGAGCACATAGAATTTATACTAGTGGCATCTTCAGTGTTCTTAGGATACTACATGTATGCCCAGAATCAATAAGTCAAAAGACAAATTAGTATTTTCACTTTGGTAGAAAAACTAACATTTTATACTTGTTAACTGAAATCCCTCATGATAGAAAAATTTTAAGATTTTCCTGTCAAATAACTTAATACCTCCATCCTTCTTCCTCTTCTCAATCTTTTCCTTACTGTAAACTCTTGAGTTCCAGCCAATTTGATTCACAAATATAAAAGCCAAGGCACCATGTAGATGCTAAGACACATAAAAGGATGAGTAAGACAGAGCCTTGGTTCTCAAAGACATGACCATTCAGTAGGGCTAATCTCCATGTATGGACATGATTTTAATAGAAAAATCTGTTTCTAAATTGATTAAGATCTCAGAAGGTATTTTCCCCAGAGAAGCAATGTCCCTCTTGCTGATTATTAGATTATTTAGTGGTACTTGGAAAAGTCTAAAATTATATACATAGTTTTGGGTTTTTTTTTTGAAAGCACATATTTTAATACTCCACAAGCTATATTGACCATCCCAAAATTTACCTTCTCTGTTGCATAATTAGCTTTCAGATCAAGCTGGTTAAAGCTGTTCTCTTTGTAAAACGGTTTGTCAACATCACTGGGTACATTTTCCTCATACCAGAAGCTCTGAGGTTGACTAGGTTTGAGGGCAGATTCCGTGGCAGCACTTTTAGCCAGTGACATTTCCATGAATTTCACTGTCTCTCCACTGCCGTGGACTACAGGTGGACTTCTAGAAGGTTGTATGACACATTTATGAGCAAATTGCTCTTCATTTGTAGAAGTGCTAGTTCCCAGTGAATTTTCTTCCTTAAATGAATCTTCCTTTATATTAGTGTCTTTTGCACAATAATACACATGAATTTGCATTTCGGGTTGTACTGTATAAGGTAAGCCTTCTTTCAGATTTTGAAATGTTATCATTTCATTACTAAATGCTTCTGTGTGATGAAATTTGCAAATGGGTTCAAATTGTCTGAAGGAAGAAATGCTGGGGTCAACTAGTTGAGGTAGTACATTCTGTGAGTCATTTCCAATGTTGAAATCTCATTAGAAAGAGAAAGATGGAAATAAGAATTAGCTGTCCATACATTTATATGCTAACAGTTATATTTACATTTATGAAATAAACTGTTGGGAGTCTTTTTAAAATTATATTTATGTCAACATTTTTTTATTGAGTGTATTTCAGCATGGCTTTGTGCTAGCAAACAAAATAAACTGCATTTTACATGGAGACCAGAAGTTCTCAAATGACTGCTACCAAAAAAGTTTGTACATCATTCTGGTCAAATGCCATTACAACAAATTCCAAGATATCTTCAAAATTCTTTTGTTGTACTGTAATTCTAAAATGTTTTGATTATGTGTCCAAAGAATACAAAAGCACAATGAACAGTATAATAACAAACACACATAAACTTGGTTAATCTCACAGCAATCCCCTGAGCCAGGCACTGTTATTATCCCTGTTTTACAGATAACGAAACTGAGACATAAGAGATGTTAAGTCACTTACTTGCCTAATGTCACAGGTTGGGTAGGCAGTGCACCTGGGATTCTAGAACACTATTTCTAAATGCTGTGTTTGTCAACATGACAAGTTATCCAGACTTAAGACATTTAAAAAAATTTTTTTAACGTTTATTTATTATTGAGAGACAGAGAGAGAGCATGAGTAGGGAAGACAGAGGAGGAGACACAGAATCCGAAGCAGGCTCCAGACTCCGAGCTGTCAGCACAGAGCCCAGTGAAGGGCTTGAACTCTCAAACTGCGAGATCATGACCTGAGCTGAAGTTGGATGCTTAACTGACTGAGCCACCCAGGTGCCCCAAGAAATTTTTAAAAATCAGAAGTAGAGATGCCTGGGTGGTTCAGTTGGTTAAACGTCCAGCTCTTAGTTTGGGCTCAGGTCATTATCTTAGGGTTTGAGCCCCAAGTTGAGCTCTGGGCTGACATTGTGGAGCCTGCTTGGGATTCTCTCTCCCTCTCTCTCTCTGCCCCTCCCCCACTCATGCTCAGCATTCCCTCACTCTTTCTCCCCCTCCCTCAAAATAAGTAAACATTTTAAAAATTAAAAAGATAAAAATCAGGAGCAAATAGGCAATAAAATGTTACAAAACTAATTAATGATGCCTCCTTCTATCTAAATTCCCTCCTTTCCCCCTCTTGAGAGATAACTACGAAAGCTGGTAGGTATTTATTCTTTCCACCCATATTTTTCTGCTTTCATTACTCAATTATGTACCTTAAATAATATATATCAACTTCCAAGAATTGGAAAGAAATACCTAACAGTTCCATTTATTAAGTAGTGAAGCTCAACTTCAGTATTTGTCTCAACAACTTAGATGTTTGAAAATTACACACAAACTGAAAGAAAAATATAATGCTTTATTTTATTCTCATACAATTGAACTTACTACTTGGATGCACTACTGGGTATCACATGTCTCAAATCTTGGAATCAGATAGGACAATGACAACCATCACTTTCTATTCTACATTGATTTTTGTACAATACTTGCTTTTTATCACAGCAACCTTCAAAGACCCAGCTTTGCAAATAATACTTTATAGAAAGAGTTATAGTATGGTTTTACACTGAAATAGTAAACTATCTTAAGCTGGTAGTTTGTGGAGTCCAACAGATGTCCAGTGTCACAGCTTCCTAAATATTTCAAAATGTCATGCAGCACCCTGGGTGATATGCAGTACAGTGCTATTTTCCGTGCTTTAAAATTGTATGTAAATAGACTCAAATTACATTTGTAACATATATATTAGACATAAAACGTATATATATATATATCCATACAAAAGTCTTTATTTCACTTAAAATTTTGCTTTTCAGACTTAGCCATGTAAATATCTGTGATTTGGTTCATTTTACTGAAGGACTACACTTTAATCCCTTTTTGTTAGATATGTTTCTAATTTTGCTGTTAAAAACAACCTTCAGTAAACATCCTTATACATGTTTCCTTGTACACTAAGAATTTTTGTCTAGGTTCTGGATATACATACCTCAAAGTAGAATCACTGGATTATAGAAAATGTTACCTTCAACTTCACTAGACATTGCAAAATTACCCTCCAAAGTAGCTGTACCAATTTATACTTCCAACAAGAGCACAGAAGTTTATTTGCTCTACTATGTCCCTCCAATGCATATTAAACTGGTATGCATTAAATGGTATTTTGTGGTCATTTGAATAGTCTTGCAGGTTTCCTTTTCTGTGATCTGCCTGTTAGATACTGTTATGGCCTCAATTTAATCTCCCCAAAAATCACATGCTGAAGGCTTAACCCCCAGCATCTTACAGTGTGACTGTATTTGGAGATAGGACCTATAAAGAGGTAATTAAGGTTAAATGAGGTCATAAAAGTGGGGCCCTAATACAATATGACTGGTGTTCTTATAAGGAAGAAAGGACATCTGGGAGGCCTCAGGATAAACCAACTCTTCTGACACCTTGATCTTGGACTTCCAGACTCCAGAACTGTGAGAAAATAAATTTCCGTAGTTGAAGTCACCCGATCTGTGGAGTTTTGTTATGGCAGCTCCAGCAAGCTAATACATACACTTGGCCTGTTTGTCTATCAAGCTCTAGGGGTCTTTTTCTTATCGGAGTTCTTTATTTTGGATACTAATCTTGTCAATGTATACATTGCATGTGTTTTTAGTCTGTATCTTGTTTTGTTTTTTTTTTAATTTTGTTGGTTATAATTTGGTCATATAGAAATTATTTTTTATTTTAAGATAGTCAAATGTGTTGCTAATGGTTTGTACTTCTCATGTTACTCTCTGGGCCTCATGCTTCTCATCTGGGTAGATACAAACAACCCTTATTCAAAAAGAAAAAAAAAAAACCTATTTCATAGGATTGTTTGTGGAGTGTGATCATGCATATAAAGTGTATATTAGCACATGGCTATTATTATTATTGCTGTTATCACAGGACACGTACACACACAAATCTTATTTCTCTGTGTATTGCCAACAAAGAGATACTCACCACCTAACCGGTCATCTAGTGTGCTATAAATTTCTTCAGCAAGTGTGAGTTTAGACTCATCTTCCCTTTTTACATTCTTTATTTCATTCTGTATTAATAATAAAAAAGGCATTAGTGTTAATACTTTAAACAAACATCAGAAGCTTCTTCTAAATGTGTATGTACATTGCTATGTAACTTTTCTCTTAGTATTTTTTGTTGCATGGGTAGAATGTACTTTCCAGTATCCTTCCCTACTGTATATCTGAGCTCCTTTACTAAAAAGTAAAACCATGCTAAGGGAGTCACGATATTAAATGACGTTAAGCAAGTATCTTGCTATTTTAATATTTTAGTTTTTTTTGTAAGTCAAATCGTGGTACTACAAACATGAGTATATAATAATGTATAAATCTCTGATAATCCTTTGGAGTCTGTTAAATCTGGTCTAAAGATCTATTAGGGTAGTTGTCATTCAAGTCTTTTAACAGTGAAGATACAGGGTGGGTTCCAGTAATGAGGTGAAATCTGATTTCCAATAGATAAAAATCTATAAAAATTCATGTAAGACTTATTCTCAAAGTTATCTCAATGTTATCTAAGGGAAAGGTTTTGTTAAGTAATATTTTAAATGTTTGAGGAAAACATTGGTTTCATTATGAACAGTGTACCAGGCATGTAAGACAAATGATGCTCTAAAAAATTTGTATCTCCTACTAAAGTCAACTGGTTACAAGCTTCTATTCAATCATGCTTTTTATAACATTGTTCCACTTATTGAAGGTACCTAAAGAGTATAACTGAGTTATATTTTATAAACATTTTTTTAGACTTCTTGCTAATCTAGACCATTCCTGCTAATTAGATTTTAAACATATCAAGAAGAATATCCTTTATTTATTTATTTATTTATTTATTTATTTATTTATTAAATGGTTTTACTTATTTTTGAGACAGAGAGAGACAGAGCATGAGCGGGGAAGGGGCAGAGAGAGAGGGAGACACAGAATCCGAAGCAGGCTCCAGGCTCCAAGCTGTCAACACAGAGCCCGACGCAGGGCTTGAAGTCACAGACTGTGAGATCATGACCTGAGCTGAAGTCGGACGCTCAACCGACTGAGCCACCCAGGCGCCCCAAGAAGAATATCCTTTAAAAAAAATAGTACTATTCATATGTATTGATGTTATATTTACATAAACTTCTTGGAACTCCACTACTCGTTGAATTTCAGAGATTACCTCTAACTCTAGCGTTCTATGATAATACTGTCTTTAAAATATGCTTGTTGTTCCTTTGGTTTATAAATTCTTTATAAAGAATAAAATACTCCATGAGTTCCAAGACAGAGAACCTCTTACATAATTTAGGAGATTCATTCTTTACAATTTGATATATATAATATGTTAGACTTTGACTAACACTGTAATACTATGATGAAATTTTCTTTTAAAATGAAATATGAAAGGGGCCACCTGGGTGGTTCAGTTGGTTAAGCCTCTAACTTTGGCTTAGGTCATGATCTGGCAGTTTGTGAGTTGGAGCCTGCATCAGTGCTGAGCCTGCTAGGGATTCTCTCTCTCTCTCTCCCCCTCTTTCTCTCTGCTCCTCCCCCACTTGCATGCACATGCACACACATGCACTCTCAAAGTAAATAAACTTAAAAAAAATAAATGAAAATATGATAAAAGTTATCATTATGAAAATAATCTTGAACATTTTAAAAAAGAGAGAAAGTAAAAAACACTCAAAAGCCCACTACCCAGTGAGAAGCAATGTAATCATTTTTCTATGTCACCGAATATACAGTTGACCCCTCAACAACATGGGTTTGAACTTCCCGGGTCCACTTACACAGATTTTCTTATAAATACAGTATAGTACTATAAATGTATTTTATTCTCCTAATGATTTTCTAAATCACATTTCTTTCCAGTATATAATAAAGACAATACACAAAATATGTGTTAATTGACTGTTTGTTATTGGTAAGGCTTCTAGTCGTAGTAGGCAATTAGTTAACTTTTGGGGGAGTCACAAGTCATATGAAGCTTTTCAACTATGAGGGGAGTCAGTACTCCTAAGTGCTGCATTGTTCAGGGGTCAACTGTGTGTCTGTATTATCATATTTAAGGTTTACGTATCTACTGTACATCTGTGCAATCATCTAACTAGGTTCCTATTGGTAAAAATTTGGTTGCTTCTAGTGTTTAAATAATGCCTTTCATGAAAGTTTACTTGTTTATTTATAATCTCTACACCCAGTGTGGTGCTTGAACTTACAACCCAGAGATCAAGAGTCACATGCTCTTCAAACTGAACCAGTCAGGCACCCCTGATGTTTATTTATTATAGGTAATCCTGCACATAGCTCATTTGCATACTTCCTTGAGATAGAATTAAAAATAAAATGCAATTTCCTCTCACTAAATAGCCCTGTATTTTTTTTAAAGATGTGTTTCTTCAGTTTGTTTTGTTTTTATTTATTTTGAGAGAGAGAGAGAGAGAGAGAGACAGAGATAGAGAGCGCCTGTGCATGCACATGTCTGCAGGGAAGGGGCACAGAGAGAGGGAGAGAGAGAATCCCAAGCAGTCTCTGCGATCCCACAAACCAGGAGATCATGACCTGAGCTGAAATCAAAAGTCAGACGCTTAACCAACTGAGCCACCCAGGCACCCCACTAAATAGCCCTTTAGATAGTTTATGCCAATTTATGGGTTAGCCCACATGAAATTGTCAATATTTGTCCATTTTCAAACTATAAAAAGGCAATTACATATGGCACAAAATAATTCATTCCTATTATTTCCCTACACTCCTGCTAGTAATTGTTAAACATTCATCACAATTTGGGACAGTATAATTTTTTTTTAGTTTATGAGAAAGGACACTTGTAATTGTCATTAAGATAAAGTCATTTACATGCAGGGCTCTGTCAATACCATGATGAATGACATCTAAATCATTTGCATGCTGACATATTAGAACATGCTCAAGACCAGATGTCTGGCCCATTGGGCTCTTTTCCTGCCTCTGTGACCCAGTTGTTGTGGCCATGTCCCCCTGGCTGCATGCTTAGGACTTTGTGTGGAGGCTAGAAAGGATCAGGTTTAATGCTCTATTTGTAACGTTCTACCTTTGGGAAAACTAGACCGTGTATTCCCCTCCTTTGAGCCTCCACTGGAGATTCTTTTACTGTTTTTCGTATTTTTGAGGACATTTTCAGAGGAAGACAACGTGAAAGCCGAATACATCTATACCTCCTAGAACTTACAAGTAATGCACACCTGAGGCAAGTCTGAATTGGTACTGCTGGTGTCCATATAGAAGGGAGAATCTGAGCGAGTTAAGTCTTGACGAAGACTGCTGACATTCCTGGCATCCGCTTCCAAGTTGCTTTCTAATTTTTCATGAGAAGCATCCACTTCAAAATGCACAGGATCTGAAGGTGATGAGCAAACTTTTTAATAATCCTTGTTCCTAACTGGTGAATGATGAAAGTCTTCTTTAAAAAAAAAACATAATTTTAATGTTTATTAGTATATGTGAACAGAGAGCTTTGTCCCCCATGCCTTCTCACATTAAGAAAGCAGCAAAGTTCAGTGTCCTAAATTTTAAAATGTCATTGGTCAAGTTATTAGAAAAAAAAATTTTTTAGTCTGAGTATACCATGGTCACTTTGTATAGTGCAAATACTGATTTGGACAAAAACAAGTCGATATGTGTGGCTACTATCCAATAATTCCCTAGAAGACTTGGGACTCAAAGTGAAGGGAACTCTCAGTTACTTAATCAAAAGATATTTACAAAATATTATCAGAGAATTATTAGGTTCCACAAAATACTGTTTTTCTATTTACTTGGTACTTTCTATTATCTCATTATCAAGTCAAATCCAACAATGTAAATCCGTTTCCCCCACTTTCCTATGCCACACCCATTCTCTTAGGCAACTGGGTTTGAAAACTTGGAGATGCCTTTGATATCCTTCTAGCTCATCATTATGAGCCATCCAATTACCAAGTCCCGTCCATTTCTCTTTTAAAAATGTTTTTCGTAACCCATGCTTTCTTTCTACTACTCGCGCCATCACACAGGCCCATACTCTCATGACTTCCTCAGGTCGGGGATGGTAGTGGACAGGATGTCCAATCACCTGGAGTCCAAGTTCTTCTGCTGGACTTTCTAGGACTCCCATAGCCTGGACCCACATTACCTATCCAATACTCGCCTGCTCTAGTCAGATCATACTCCTTACTATTTCAGTCTGACCTGGCAAATGCTTCTCTCTCCTAAAGCCTTCCTATATACCCATTCATCTATCTAAAAAATTCCTGCAACATGGGAAATCTCTACAATTCAGCACCTATTTGTTTTACCGTTTTAGCTTTTACCACCCTTTGAAGGGTGTTAGTATTTACAGATTATAAATGCCTCCAGAAGAGTCCATTCATGATTTTCCAGTAATCACCGCAGCAAACAGCAATGTTGTTCACAGAGTAAATACTGATCAAATGAATCCTGCAGTCCAAAGATTTTATTTCTATTAAAATTTCTCAATTTACAGTTGCTACCTATTTGCCCGGATTATTTTATTGAATTATCGAATTAATGAACAATTTATTGAGGCTTGATTTGTTTTCCCAAAGCCATGCCATCGTCTGAAGTATAAAAAGCCAGTAAGACAAGCAGGCTAGTCGGGCTTAGCGAAAGGCCTAACTTTATGCTCACCTTTTCCACCTTCCGAACACTTAAATGCTGCCTAGGCTGTGGTGAAAGGAATCTGAAAAATCTTCGTTTTCCAAACGCAAAAAAACTCAAGGCCCTTATTTCTTCAATTTCTTTGTTGGTGAACCTAGAACTTCCATTTACACTTTTATAAATTTGTTCACATGGCGCAATCTGTCAACTTACTTTAAAGTTAGGTTTACTTTTTCCATCTTTCATCCTGTCCTTACCAGGTCTTTGCCAACATTTTTAAAGTATTTATTCAGATGTTTGGGTAGATATTCCAGGAACATTATAAAGCTGTTTTAAGATGGGCGCTAAAAGGGTCGTCATTTGGAGTTACCACCAACATTCTAGTTTTAAAATTCTCTCAGTTGTATGACAAACATTTTAAAAATCACTCCTCTCATTTTCCCTCAAAACAATGCACCAAACTTTTCAAGTCTAAAAAGTGTGCTCACTTTCAGGGTCCATAGCTTCTTGGATCCGCTGTAAGGATTCAGCGCTTCCACCTTCCGCACAGGGTTTCGCGGGAGAAAGAAAAACGCTTTACGACCTCATCCACTGAAGGCTTTGAAAAACTCGCAGATGGCACACGGGCGCGCTGGAACTGCCCTGTGTGACGCCCGCCCACCGCCCTAGCCAGTCTCGGCTCGCTAAGACGCCAGGCGGGCTCCCACGCCCTGCGCCACGCCCCACGCCCCAGGGGCGCGGCCGGGGGAAGGGCGGGACTTCCGTCAGGATTGAGACTTCCGGTCGGGCGGGAGTTCCGGTCAGGGCGGTCCTAGCTGTCCTGGTTGTAGGTCCTTATCTCTCTTAGCTCGTGGCGTTCGCTTTTGGCGTTGGAGCTTCTGAGCAGTTTGATAGGCGGGCATCTGCCCAGAGGGGGTTGGATGGGCTGCGTGTAGCTCTGTCTCTGTGCGGTTTCCGTCCCAGCGCGGGGCGGACGGCCTCCAGGGGCGCCGAGGCTCTGCACGCTTCCGTCATGGACTACCGGCGGCTGCTGATGAGTCGGGTGGTTCCCGGGCAGTTCGACGACGCGGATTCCTCGGACAGGTGGGCGAGCCCCTTTGGGCACACAGACTCCGTGAGGATTCTGCTGTCTCCGCCGCCGCGGGCAGCCTCGGGCTTTTGAGGGAGACAGGTATTTCATTCGGAGTAGTCTCTCCACAGCCCTTTGCTTCTTTCTCCATGCCAGCCGGGTCTTTTAATCCCACTTTGCGCCAGAGTTCACGAAAGCCGCTTGTCAAGGGAGTTCCAGATTGGCTAGCCTCGCTGAGAGGCAGAGTTGGAGACAGTGGTTGGGAAACGTAGATTTTTAGTCTTTAACTGCATTTGGCGTTCAAAAAATATTTGAGCACCTGTCGTGGGCCAGGTTTTGTTCTCGGCGCGGGAGATGGTGGTGAACAAGATTAAGTCCCTGCAGTCTTTGAATTTTACCTTCTATTTGGGAAGGAGGGCAGACAATTAAGTACATAGAGATATTTTATAAACAAACAAAAAAAAACCCCACAGATAATATACTCAATGCAAATAATTAAAATCAGTTGGTAGACTAATGACAGTGTCAGGGATGAGTTAAGTCCACATGTGGAACTAACCTCAGGAGGAGCAGAGGGAACAGCAGTTCAGGAAGAGGAGACAACAATGCACAGGCCCAACGTTGGCATCACTCTTGGCTGTGAAAGAAAGGGCTAGAGGCCAGTGTACCTAGAGCACAGCACAGCGAGTTGAGAAGATGGCTAGGAAATGATGTAGAAGTGAGAAGGGGCCAGATCATATAGAGCCTTATAAGGGATGATAAGCAGTTGGGATATTCTAGGTCTTAACAGAAAGCCATAGGAGGGATTTTACTAGGGGAATGACAATCTGATTTATGATTTAAAGGAATTACTCTGTTATGGAGAGGATGGTTGTAGAGGGCATGAGTGGAAGCAGTTCAAAAGTGATAAAGTAATTCAGTTCAAACATGAGGGGAGCTAGAGATAGGGTCACGGGATATGTTTTGGAGGTAGAAGTGACAAGGTTTGGTGGTAGATTGGCTGTGGGATGTGAGGCAAAAGGATTTCAGGATAACTCCTACATGAAACATGAGAGTTCCTTTGGAATTCCAAGAAAACGTTTTTTACTTTATATTCACAGTAAAGATTCATTACATGTAGATTTTAGTAGTCATTTGGGGATTTTTTTTTTTTCCAGTAAAAATATGTTGATCATTTTCTGTGTGCCAGGTCTAGTGTTAGTGGGTAGGGATACATTGTAAACACCACCCTGATTGACACAGAGCTTACAAGATAGGAGGGGAAACATTAAATAATTGGACAAATTATTTGTATTAGAATTGGGTAAGTAGTACAAAGGAAAAAGGAGTGAAGAAGATGGGAGACTTTCCTGACCAAATGATGATAATCTAATACTGAAAGGTTATATAAGATTTAGTCAGAGAAACAAGAAGATTTTATTTCAGATGCATTCCAGGTTTATGTTTCCAGATAACCATATAAAAGGCTTTAGGGAAGAAGTAGGAAGAAGAAACAGCCCAGTGTGGCTGGTAAATAGTTGGCAGTAATGGGTATACACTGGTTTACCATCCATCACTGGATATTGTGAAGATAAGCCAATGGACTTTGTGACCCTGCCACACTCCAGGGTCCACTCCACTGGGAGGTGGGGGGAGAGCATAATGTATTGGGTAGGTAGAAGCCAAAGATGCTGCTAAAATCCTACAAGGCAGAAAACGACCTCCCACCGCAAAGAATTGTCCAGCCAAGGTTGAGAAGTTCTGGTACAAATGAGGTATAACTTTGGGGCACCTGGGTGGCTCAGTCGGTTGAGCGTCCAACTTTGGCTCAGGTCATGATCTCGCAGTCTGTGAGTTCGAGCCCCGCATCGGGCTCTGTGCTGACAGCTCGGAGCCCAGAGCCTGTTTCAGATTCTGTGTCTTCCTCTCTCTCTGACCCTCCCCTGTTCATGCTCTGTCTCTCTGTCTCAAAAATAAAGAAACATTAAAAAAAAATTAAAGAAAAACAACAAACAAATGAGGTATAACTTTAATGTGCCATTGTAGATTGTTGGCAATTAAAGGATCAAATTAAGGATTATGTTTACAAAATCGTAGTAAATAGCAGGTGTTTGATGATTATTCTCTTCCCACCCATGTCCATGGAGATTTGGAACCCTTTGAGCTGTGGCTAATTAATAATCAGGATTGATCACCTGAATTTACTGAACTCTTGTCTGACCGTTTTTAAGCTGGTAGTTCACATTATCAGGGTTCTATGTGGTTCCTGTGTTTGTTCTCTACATGAGTGATCAAAACTGGTGGGACCTCTGTTGAATCTGACCTGCAGACATATTTTGTTTGGTATGCACAGTGTTTGGTTAAAATTAAATGTACCAGTTTAGTGGGAGATTTAAAAGTCCACACTTCTGGCATCTCTTGAAAAACTAAGATCTGGTAGCACTGGCTCTGAATTTTCACATGGCAGAAAAACACCCTATTGGTTGTGCTCCATTTACTCTGGGCCTGATCTCTGGGTTTGACAATCACCACTTCTCTTACTGAATTACACCCAGACTGCTCTGAATTACACCACTCATTTGTGGTGCTTATGTTCACCATTCCTTCCCTTTTATTAATAGGGGTGATTTGAAGTTCTTTGTGTAGCACAAATCTTGATACAGCTTCTTTTGTTGGAGTGGTATTGAGTTCAAGGTAAGGCTGCTTTAGACTTAGTCCCAAATTTTGTCAGAAAGCTTTCCCCCCATTGACTCTTAAGACATATCTGTGAATGGTTTTCCTGGAGTTGGGTCTGGTGTACTGGTCAGAGTGCATTCATTCAGCAGAGAAAATGACAATGTAAATCCTGACTTCATTAAGGCCGAAGTGATTTAACACCTGATGTACTTCTTCTTTAGTAGGACCTGGAGAATAAGCAAACAATGGGAATGACACTTTGAAAAACAGAACCTGGTATTAAGTTTGAGTTTATTGGGAGATAATGTTGAGAGGAAAACTTTTAGATTTATTGGTATAAATTTAGTCTGTTATATCACAAATAGCTGCATGTATAAATCCAATTAGAGTTATGTGGAAACATGCTGCACATTGTTATTTCTAGTGAAAACATTGACCTGAGGACCATCAGAGAGGAAGATATTCTGTTTGAAGATCTGCAGAAGAATGTGCCTGAGAAGATGGGCGGAGGTGATATGGAAGAGAAGGAGGAGGAGGAGGAAGAGGAGGAGGAGTATGATGAAGATGACTGGGATTGGGATGATGGAGTTGGAAAACTCACCAAAGGTTGTATCTCAAATGCAAGGAGTAACCCACAGGTATTTTACAAATGATTGTATACATCTTTATGTTATTTATGTCTTCTTTTTTCAAAGGACTTTTTGTTGTTCTGGACTTGAATTGGAAGATTTCCCTCAGGTTATGTTGCCCTGTAGCCCCAACCTTTAACGAGTTTTATTCTTCATCCTTTTTGTATTTCTGATCATTTCCTGGATGTAGGTTCTTTTCATAGTACATTTTAAAAACTATTGGGGCGCCTGGGTGGCGCAGTCAGTTAAGCGTCCGACTTCAGCCAGGTCACGATCTCGCGGTCCGGGAGTTCGAGCCCCGCGTCAGGCTCTGGGCTGATGGCTCAGAGCCTGGAGCCTGTTTCCGATTCTGTGTCTCCCTCTCTCTCTGCCCCTCCCCCGTTCATGCTCTGTCTCTCTCTGTCCCAAAAATAAATAAACGTTGAAAAAAAAAAAAGTAAAAAAATAAAAACTATTTAAATTATGGTAAGATTAGGAGCTTTAAAGTCTGCATGGGAAAAGATGCAAATAGGCAGTTCACTACAAATGGTTAGGAAACATGGAGAGAAAGTTCCGCTTCCTTAGTAATTAAAAAATGCAGGTTAAATATGTAGAAATGCTGTTTTTTCACTTATGAAACTGACCAAGATGCAAAATCTATAATTGCTGATTGAGTAAATAACTACTTATTTAGAGGATAAACTGGTATGTGATAAAAGCTTTTAAAACATAAAATAAATGCTTTGATTCAGCAATTCTTTTAAGATTGTGCCAAGAATGGTGTTATGAGAATGATTCTCCAGTATTGTTTATAGAGAAACACTGGAAACAAGCTTGACTAAATTTGTTGTGGGACTGATTTCACACGATGGGATATTATGCAGCCATAAAATACATTGCAGTGGAAAACTATATTAATGACATGAATCTGCCATCACCTACTGTGTACTGGGCACAAGTTATCAGACTGTAGAGCCTGCTTCTCAACTGGAAGTACTCTGTTTCAGGATTTTGCAGAGCCTTAGGATTAACATGGTACATCTTACTAGAGCATAAAGATTTCTGAAAGAGATGGAGGGGGAAAAAACCAACAGTATTTCTTTGAATATTAAGATTGCTATATTGTGGATAAGAATTAGTGCATTTTAAAAATAACCAGATGAATTTCACACTTGTCTGTTTTGGTGAGACGTTGAGCTATTTTAATATAGAGTTTATTCTCTTTTAATAAAGATAGAAAAAAAGGCAAGTGTATATGCTTAAATGTTAACTATTATCTTTGGGTGCTGGGATTGTGGGTGATTAAAATTTTACCTGTGTTTTCTACTGTGAATCTCTACTTAGAAATGTTTTCAAAGTTGTATCTGGTAGAAAACTTTAAATAGGTCTGTACAGACAGCATAGGTCTATGCAGTCAGCCTCACACTTGCAAGCTGAGATACGCGGAGTAAATCAGTCATTGTTATGAGCCCTTTTTATCTGTACTATACTCCCTTTGAATAAGGGTTCTTTCTTTTTGTTATTATTTTAGTTTGTGTATAGCGCCAGTGTAAGTGGTAAGCCTCATGCCTGATCTTTCCCTTTCTTGAGACAATGGGCCCAAAATGAAATTCTTAGAACCAGTTTAATGTTGGCCTTAGCCATTCATTATACGTTTTGGAGGTAAATGAACATTGTCAAATTCTAAGTCTATTAACAGTTGAATTAAAAAAAATGGATTTAATTACAATTTGTTCTTTATAATAATGAGGAATATATTGTAGGGAGGTTAAAAAATACAGATTATACAGACTGTTCATTTTAGCCAGTAACTTTGTCCTATTTCAAATGTCTTTTTAAAAAATTTCTTGAGCAAACATGATTGATTCTTAACCTTTTCTTAGGGTACTCCTTCAAGTATTGATGCTCTGATAGTTAACTGTTAGCTAAGGAGAAAGACATGTAATAACTAACCTTAGGTCTGTATTTATAACTAGTGCCTTCAACTCTGGAACTTATTTCTTCTAGACAAATCAGCAGACTTCCAACTACAATTTGGCCAAAATATCTACTCCAGCAGACAAGGTCTTACGGAAATTTGAGAATAAAATTAATCTAGGTGAGTTCATAAAATATATTTGGGCTATGAGGAAGCTTTTCAGAAGCCATGAAGTGTCATAAATTTTGTTAGGTCAAGAAATGAGTGTGTTCAGTGTTACTGGCTGAATAATAATAATGTTTAGAGAAGATAAAAACTCCGTATTTAAAGACCTGGCTTTAGGAAGAGACTTCAGCTTCTGCTTTTTTAGCTGTTTGCTCCTCTGCTGTAAAAATATAAATTTACAGATATCTGTTCAAGTTTTCATCTGTTGTGTATTAAAGTAGCATTGTCTCAGACTAGAATGTTGAAAATACGTTGACCCTTGAACTTGGGGGTTGGGATGCTGACTCCATGCAGTTGAAAATCCACGTGTAACTTCTGACTCCCTCAAAACTTAACTACCAGTAGCCCACTGTTGACCAAAAGCCTCACTGATCACATAAACAGTTGATAAATACATTTTATATGTTATGTATGTTATATACTAAGTTCTTACAATAAAGGAAACTAGATAAAAGAAAATGAAAATGTTAAGTCATAAGAAATACATGTACAGTACACTACTGTGAAAAATCCGTATATAAGTAGATCTGCATAATTCAAACACATGTTCAAGTATCAACTGTACTAGAATATTGAATATAAATACATTTTGTTTTACTAGACACTTTTTATGTACGCATTAATCATTTAGTGAGCTGTTGAATGCAAGGAATCAGAATGTTGATTTGAACCACCACCTCTTAAAAAATGCAGGATCATCTTTGTCTTGTGGAAGTTGATTCATTATAAACCTAGCACAGTGTCTCTCATATCCTATCACTGACCTATAACTTGAAATGAAACTGAAGTTTTTAGAGTTAAACTTGGAATTCGGGCAGTTTATATTCCCAAATTCGCCGTATAAAATATTAACAAGTGTCTGAAATTCAGCATATGCAGGTAAAGGATTTTGGGGAGATTCCTGGATCTGGGTTTCTGTGGCTCAAATTAGAGCTGTGATGATGACAGTGGCAACACTTGTCACTAAGGAGACACAACTTCATGCTCAACATCTAAAAACATTAATAGTTTTTCATCATTAAAAGATACTCTATGTGTAACAAAATATTTGGAAAATAGAGGAGGAAGAGGGAAAAAGTATTCTATTCAAATGTTGTCTTTTTGTCTTAACTGTTGTTTACATTGTGGATTTTTTAATTTTTAGATAAGCTAAATGTTACTGATTCTGTCATAAATAAAGTCACCGAGAAGTCTAGACAAAAGGAAGCAGATATGTAAGTAATATTTTAACTATAAAACATGGCGGATAGGGACTAATTCTAGACAAATGAGCATGGAAAGGATATTTCTTTATATGATTAAACCAGTTATTTTCTTTTTCTTTTTAGCTTAAATGAGGGTGTCCTTTCCTTAGTAAGTTGAGAATATTAAGTGCGTTTTAAATGTGTGGTCAAACTATAATCTTGTGAAATTCACAATGTGCTCTTGGGAGGGTAATGGTAAACTAAAATGTAGATTCCAGTTTAAACTGAAGTGTTAAAGTGTGAAAATGCTTCCTTTTAAAAACTTACTAAAAATTTTTCCCTTCCATGAAATGTTTTTAAATTTTTATTTTATTATTTTTAAATTTTTTTAAGTAGGCTCCTTGCCCAGTGTGGAGCTTGAACTCACGACCAACCGAGCCACCCAGGCACCCCTCCATGAAATATTTTTAAAAATGTAAGGGAAGATTTAAAATTAAATAGTGATCTAATAAGAACAATTTCTATTTATTCTTCTCAAAACCAGTTGTTTAAGTGCAAGCTAACTTCTATATGCTAAAAACACTAGGGCATTGACATATTGTAGAAAATGACATTAAGTTTATACAACTAGCAGTGTTTGAACTTAAAAACCAACTTTCTTCTGACTAAAAATCACTTTTCTTCTGGTTTATTGCTATCCCCAAGAGATACCAGCCTTTTGAGAACTGCCATAGTCATCTGTTATTTCATAGAAGTGTCTGAATCTTTGTGTTTGAATCTTTGAGTTGAGGTTAGTGTGCTAATAGAATCAGTGTGTGGACTGAAACCAGTCAGAGTCTGCATTTTAATGCAGAACTCAAGAACTGTCTTTAGATGACAAAAACCCGTGTCTTTGTAGAAAGGGACTCTAAAGAGAAGGTGATATAAATGACTTTAAATCTCACATTAGATTAATAGAATCATTAAAGATTGAGAGACAATATTAACAGACCCAATGTTTCCTTTTTTGCAGCATGGTTCACCTTACCCCGGCTGCTCTCTTTATCTAATCCTTCTGAAATATGGATAGAATGATTTTTTCTTACTGCAGATGTGCTCCTTTTGCTCTAGGGAACTGAACTGATGATTAAGGGGACACAAAGGAAGCAACATTGAGCAATGAAACTACAATGAGATTTTGAAATGGGTTATTAAAGAAAGTACCTACTTAGGAATTTTATGGGATGAGATACATTTTGAACTTTTTATTTTGGCTTCTGAATTTTGAATGTCACGTTCTTTTTTGGTTTTGGTTAGGTATCGCATCAAAGATAAGGCAGACAGAGCAACTGTGGAACAGGTACAATTTAAATGTGCTTTCATTTTAAGTAGGCATTATAAGTTCTCATTTTAAATTAGCACTTCTTTTCTCTTGGGATTATAGTTTGCATTCATTCTTCTTGCTTAATGCTAATGTTACCTAAAATTACTCCTTCTAGTTTTGAGTTTAGAAGTCTACATTTTGAGGGGTGCCTGGGTGGCTCAGTCGGTTGAGCGTCCGACTTCGGCTCAGGTCATGATCTTTGGTCCGTGAGTTTGAGCCCTGCGTCGGGCTCTGTGCTGACCGCTCAGAGACTGGAGCCTGTTTCAGATTCTGTGTCTTCCTCTCTCTCTGACCCTCCCCCATTCATGCTCTGTCTCTCTCTGTCTCAAAAATAAATAAGCGTTAAAAAAAAAAGTCTACATTTTGTTTTATTGATAATAGATAACTTAGAGTCATGCCCCCCTCTGTGGCCACCATGCGGTGTTTTCATCTTCTATGAGGATGCAGAATTTACTGGAAGTCCAGAAATCTTTTGTCTTAAGCAAGATATGCAGGAATTTTGTGAGCTTTATTAGAAGGTACCTGTCACAAAGTGAAGGGATAGGGCAATGCCTTCAGATTTTCACTAGAAATCCCTTACTTGGTTTAGACATTATGCTGGTTTTATTCTTTCTGTTCAAGAATGGGGGAACTTTTTCCTAATTTTCCCGTATGTAGAGAGTTGTGAATTGGATGTTAGCATTGGCTCCGATTTTTGACGTGAAGGTGGTAAAAAGGGTCAGAACATTGCTACTGCTATCTACCACCCTTCTCACCCCTACACAGAGGCACAAACATTTTGGAATAGTAGCCCCTATGATCCCCAGATCCTTGATATAAGATATGAACCCCCTGCTACTAGCCACCTCAGTCCCCAGCAGAGTAACACCCAACCTGAGCTCCAGAACCATTTGTGCAGTTGAAGAATTCCACCTGTAGTTGGGCAGGAGTGGGTCTGAGATCTGTGTCCTCCTTGTCCTCTCATTTATTTTGTGTGTGTGTGGTTGAAAACAAAGTGTATAGTCCAGCTTAGAGAAGTGAGGCAGCCATAATTTTCAAACACCCTAAAATAACAAAGGCAATAAATCCTTTTTTCCCCCTTTTTCAAAATTAATTTTGAATAAACAATGTATATCTTGGTCTTAAGCTGTCTTTTTAAATATGTATTTGTAAAGTTTATTCCATTCTCCTGTTTCTCTCCCTTATTTTGATTTTAAGCCATTTTGGTACGTTGCTCCTCCTACGCCCCTGCCTTGGCTTCCTCCCAGTTTTGCAGCCACACAGGTGTCTGCCTGGATTCTCAGCGCGTCGCTTCCCTCTGCTGACCTGTGCAGTGAAGTGGGAATGTCAGTTAGGGCCCGTTAGCCCAATTCCCTTTCATTCCTCTCTAGTTGCCATAGTTGCAGTTTGGCTTTTTGTCCTGTAGTCTTTCCAGGGTTGTTTTGTTTTTATTAACCCTAGGTTTCTGGTATGACCGTGGCTGCATCACTGAGGATAGACCCTAAAGTATAGTTAGATTTGGCCACTTCACACTGTCTCTCTCTGTGGAGCTGGAGGGGCTGCTGTGAGTGTCCCTTGAAATTGCATGTAAATATCTGGCTGGTTGAGTTCAGGGATGGATGAGACCAGGCTTTAAATTCCTTGCTTTCTGTTAAAGAGGACTTTGGGATCCTTTTTACTCAAGATTGATTGCTCTAACTTTGAAAGAGACCCTTTCCCTGATTTACTCATCTATAGCAGAGGTGCACAGACTCTTTCTTTAAAGGGTTAAATAATAGGGGCGCCTGGGTGGCTCAGTTGAGCATCCAACTCTTGATTTCAGCTCAGGTTATGCCCACATTGGTCATGCTCCATACTCAGTGCAGATCCTGCTTGAGATTCTCTCTCTCCCTCGCCCCCCTTGTCCCGTGCCTCCCCAACCACCCACTCATGTGTGCACGTGTTCTCGCTCTCTCTCAAATAAAAAATAAATGGGGTGCCTGGGTGGCTCAGTTGGTTATGTGTCCGACTTCTACTCAGGTCATGATCTCATGGTCCGTGGGTCCCCCATCGGGCTCTGTGCTGACAGCTCAGAGCCTGGAGCCTGCTTCAGATTCTGTGTCTCCCTCCCTCTCTGCCCCTCCCCTGCTCACGCTCTAACTCTTCTCTCAAAAGTAAACATTAACAATTTTTTTTTTTTAATAATCAATAAATAAGGAGTTAAATAATAAATACTTCAAGCACTGTGGCTCACAATTTTTTTTTTTAAGCAACTTTTAAAATGTAAAGACCATTCCTAGCTTGCAGGCTGCAGAAAAAAAAGCCATGGCCTGGATTTGACTTCTGTGCTGTAGGGTGCTGACCCCAGTTTAAAGTTGCAAATCCAGTACAGTGACCACTGAGCACTTGAAACGTAGCTAGTCTGGATTGACATGTGCTATAAACATAAACCAGATTTTGAAGACTTGGTGTAAAAAAAGAATGTTAAATCTCTTACTGATAACTTTTTATATTGATTACATGTTGAAATTGATAGTGTTTTAGATAGATTGCATTAAATAAAGTATATCAAAATTAATTTTACCTGCTACTTTTTGCTGCTTTTAGTGTGACTAGAAAATGTGGAACTGCTATGCAGCTTGCATTATATATTCTATTAGCTAATATCAGTCTAGAGTCCATTTCTGCTTCTGTTGAACTTGGTAGACTTTGACTTCTGTGTCTGAACGAACTTGTTGGTTTGTCTCTTGTTCCTTTGGCCTTCGTGTCGTATTTTATTTACTAAAAATCAGAATAAATAAAAACACCACAATTGAGACTGTCAGTCAGCCAGAATAGCATAGTATTTAAGCTCTTCAGTTTATTAATGGTCAGGTGCTTCAATGAGAAATACTTGATACTATCTTTCTGAACTTTGTATTTTTTGCATTTTTTTAGGTGTTGGATCCTAGAACACGAATGATACTATTCAAGATGTTGACTAGAGGAATCATATCAGAGATAAATGGCTGCATTAGCACAGGAAAAGAAGTGAGCTTTTCTTTGGATGCCTGAATGTTTTCATGTTAGTTTTCTTATTTCAGATACCAAATGAAACTAAGGCACATAGTAAATAAATTGTGCCTTTAAAAGAAAAGAAAAAAAAAGCATGCACAAGTCAGGATAGTTTAATTAGTGTTTGTAAAAACAGCTTTATTAATATTTATGGCTAGGTAGGAAGTTGTGCACATAAATCGGCCTTTTCACTATTGTTGCTGTACTGGATCACTGAGTCCAGGTAGTGCCCAGGGTAGGCATAGGTGGTCAGATTACTGCAGGCCCCAGTCCTTGCCACATAGTTACTATGGGAGGGGGGGCTTATAGTCTAGTTTCTGTGGATGAGCAAATCTCTTTCTCTGTTTTTCTTTGTACGTGGATATGGAGACAGACAGACAGACATGGCATTTGTAAATTAGCAACTCATTCTATGGGAAGCAGTCCTCAGTAAAATTCAGTTTATAAATCATGAGATGTAAGAATGTCTTGAAATATTTTTCACATACTTGAGATGCAAAGATGTTTTAAACTGCTTCATGCTTAATTATAAATTGGATCTTATATGTAAATTGGAGCTCTACTTACTGTACGTTTTGGTATGATGTTTCATATTTTAATTGATGTATTCAAAAGATGATATTTCTTCTACATGCTACTTCAGTTCAGTTGACTTTGTTTTTTTTGACTTTTGAGGATAGAATCAAACAGTTGAAAATTAAAATACTTTTGTTATTTTACACAAACTTATTTTGTTTTTGATGCAAAATAGGCTAATGTGTACCACGCTAGCACAGCAAATGGAGACAGCAGAGCAATCAAAATTTACAAAACTTCTATTTTGGTGTTCAAAGATCGGGATAAGTATGTAAGCGGGGAATTCAGGTGAGTGAGCTCAGATTCTTTTTCCAGTGGCCTGATTTCTATATCCTAAAAAAATAAAAACTAGAATAATAGAACGATTACAATAACAAGTGTTTTTCTTGTTCAAGATTTCGTCATGGCTATTGTAAAGGAAACCCCAGAAAGATGGTGAAAACTTGGGCAGAAAAAGAAATGAGGAACTTAATCAGGTGACTCTCGAGGGAGGGTGTCTGTGCTGTGCCAGGCATACTGGCCCCAGCTCCTTCTTGCTGACAAATCCCAGTGTGGTTCTGTGTAAAGGTGGGGACTCATAGTGCTGTTCAGTTGTGTTAGATCTGAGGTATGCAAAAGAAACCAATTTCTGGGCAAATAGAAACTACCTTATCTTCTCTGTTTTGAGAATCCGTTATAGAAAAATTTACATTTATTCAGCAAGGGTGAGTCGTTTGAAGCACCTTGGTAGCCATGTGAAAGCATTTAGAATTTATACGGAGGATGATAGGGGACTGTTGCAGGACTTTATTTTATTTATTTATTTTTTTAATGTTTATTTTTGAGAGAGTGAGAGCGCAAGTGGGGAGAGGCAGAGAGACAGGGAGACAGAGGATTGATCTGAAGCAGGCTCTATGCTGACAGCAGAGAGCCCAATGTGGGGCTTGAATTCACAAACCATGAGATCATGATGTGAGCTGAAGTCAGTTGCTTAACCGCCTGAGCCACCCAAGCACCCCTAATTTATTTATGTAAATTCAAGTTAGTTAACATATAACGTAGTATTAGTTTCAGGAGTAGAATCAGTGATTCATCACTTACATGTGACACCCAGTGCTCACCCCAAGTGCCCCCCTTAATACCCATTGCCCATTTGGCTCCATCCACCCACCCAGTGCCCTCCGGCAACCCTCAGTTCTCTGTATTTAAGAATCTTACAGTTTATCTGTCTGTTTTTATCTTATTTTTCCTTCCCTTCCCCTATATTTATCTGTTGTGTTTCTAAAATTTCACATGTGAATGAAATCATATATTTGTCTTCCTCTGCCTGATTTATTTCGCTTAGCATAATACACTCTAGTTCCATCTACGTTGTTGCAAATGGCAAGATTTCATTCTTTTTCATCACTGAGTAGTATTCCATTTTATATATATCATATCTTTATCCATTCATCTGTTCATGGACATTTGGGCTCTTTGCATAATTTGGCTATTGTTGATAGTGCTGCTGTAAGCATTGGAGTACGTGTACCCCTTCAAATCAGCATTTTTTTTTTTTATACTTTGGATAAATACCTAGTAGTGCAATTGCTGGGTCGTAGGGTAGTTCTATTTTTACTTTTTTGAGGAACCTCCATACTGTTTTCCAGAGTGGCTGTTGCAAGATTTTAAACAGGGAAGTAACACAATCTGGTGGTGAGACTGATGGGTTATTTTGTCATAGGTATTGGAGTTTAGACAGTTTTGCTAGGTCCTAAACTCTATTATAGTTTCTTTTTCTTATTTCTATCCAGTTGTTTTTAAAAAAATTTTTAATGTTTGTTTATTTTTGAGAGAGAGACAGAGAGAGCCTGAACAAGGGAGGGACAGAGAAAGAGGGAGAGACAGAATCTGAAGCAGGCTCCAGGCTCTGAGCTATCAGCACAGAGCCCGACACGGGGTTCAAACTCACAAACCACGATGTCATGACCTGAGCTGAAGTCGGATCCTTATCCAACTGAGCCACCCAGGCACCCCTCCTCTTTCTATCCAGTTTTCGACATGTTTATGTATTATTCTTTGTGCTGATCCTTTTATATCAAGTGAAGGCAACTTGCTTAGCTGAGATGAAGTTTTTCAAAAAATTTGAAGTATTTTTTTCTCTTTCAAATAACTTTTAACTTTGTATGTGCCATACAGAGGTAACATACATTGGATACTTTAGTATTAAATCCTTATTTTGAAAGTCTTTCTGAAATCTTCCTGTGTTCAGTTAGCTAGCTAGATGTTAGGTATGAGTTCAACCGTGTTTTGTTTTGTTTTGTTTTGTTTTGTTTTGTTTTTTGTTTTGTTTTGTTTTGTTTTGTAAGTAGACTCTGTGCCCAACATGGGGCTCAAACTCATGACCCTGAGATTGAGAATCGCATGCTGTACCAACTGAGCCAGCCAGGCACCCTGAGTCCAACTGTTTTTATTAATCATTGTTTAGCTAGTTAGCTGAAAAGACATACCTGCTGTATCTCATCAGTTCTGAGATGCACATTTGACAGGTTAACATCTCTGGAATGGGACCGAGTGTTAGAGACTGTGAGTAGTTGAATTGCCAGTGTTGTATCATTCTTGGTCGTGCATCATGGTGTCACCTAAAAATCACTGGGGCCCTAGAGTTTATGACAAACAATAATACAGTTGAAACATGTTGGCGCTGCCTCCTAACAGTGATACTAATCTTCTGTAGCCATTATAATTTGCTTTAGATGCTGTGTCACCTTCTAACTTGTCCTTTTACCTGTTTGAATATCACAGGCTAAACACTGCACAGATCCCATGCCCAGAACCTATCCTGCTAAGAAGTCATGTTCTTGTCATGGGTTTCATTGGGAAAGATGACATGTGAGTACGTAGAAGGCCTAATAATTACATGCTCAGAATGGTATTTTTAAGTGCTTTGAAGTATACAGTGTATAAATATTTCCCATTTAAATAGCTCCTTTTATCTTGAAGTATTTGATAGGATTTTTTTTACTGTATGAGTGCATAGAGTTAATTTATTCTACCTTTTTTAAGTCCCCAAATGCTTCAGAATAACAAAGTTCACCCTGTTTCTGAGAAATGTTTTGTATAGTAGGCTGCAAGAGCACTTGTTTCTTGACAGCTTGTTGAAATGGTACATCTGTCATGAGCCAAATTGTTCAGCGATGAGTTGTCGAAAAGAAGTGCATGTAGCAATGTAGTCTAAAGCAGGAAAACTTGTTCTGGGGCATTTTATCTTAGTTCATTTGATTTTTATTCAAGGCCAGCGCCACTGTTGAAGAGCGTCCAGCTCTCAGAATCCAAGGCTCGGGAGTTGTATCTGCAGGTCATCCAACTCTTGAGAAGAATGTATCAAGACGCCAGACTCGTCCACGCGGATCTCAGTGAATTTAACATGCTGTGAGTGCATTTTGTCCTTTAGGAGCCACCTGCGTGGTGTTTCATGTCCTTTAAAAAAATAAAATCCCAATCTAAGAAGTCATTTTTAAATTTTAAAGTTTTAAAGTTGGCTTCCATGCGGTCATAGTATAGGATGTGTTCTCTGCCTCTGGTGACCTCAGTCACAGAATTGACCATCTGATCATTAACAGGCTTCTAGGACTTTGGAGATTTTCTCGGTTTTCATCTCTTGTTAGTCAAGCGGCCTCTTATCCTTACCCACCTTGTTCATCTTATTGGTTATTTCCCTTGCTTTTAAAGTAGAATTTTTTAAGCAAGGAATGCAGGAAAGTAGTAGCATCCAAGTCCCTGTGTGTCTGGCCCACAGGTACCATAGCGGAGGTGTGTACATCATTGATGTTTCCCAGTCCGTGGAGCATGACCACCCACATGCCTTGGAGTTCTTGAGAAAAGACTGTGCCAATATCAACGGTGAGTGGGAATTGGAGTTTCCAGCCAGCTTGTTTGTATAGTGGTCTTGCACTGTTAAGCTGTTGATATGGCCCTAAATCATTTGATACAGCGATTACCATTTGCTAGGAGATTGTATATTTTTATTCATATCTTTGTTCCTCTGTAAAGTAGTTGGAATAAACCTTTTCCCTCATAAAGCTATCATTATATTTTCCTTCCAACAGATTTCTTTTTGAAGCACAGCGTTGCCGTGATGACTGTGCGGGAACTCTTTGAATTTGTCACAGATCCATCCATTACACATGAGAACATAGATGCTTATCTCTCAAAGGTGAGATGGGGCGAGGAAGGGAAAGGGCAGAAAATGGCAATAGTAATTTGCACTTACATGGCGCTTCTAGGGACTCAGGTTGCTTAGCATATGTTCATTTTGACAGCTTCCTGAGACCTTTTCCTTCTGATTTCACAGATAGGGAATCAAAAGTACAGTAAAAGGCCAATGAGAAAGCCAGGTTTCTTGACATGAAGCATTGGGCAGGATTACATAGACTGCCAAAGTTCATGAATGTTTAGTAAGAGACCTGTTCGCTTTTGGTATTTCCCTTGTTTCTCAGAGGTCTTTCTGAATCCTAGAATTTTTGAAAGTGTGGTAAAACGTACATAGCATAAAACTTGCCATTGTAACCATTTTTAAGTGTACACGTCACTTAAGTGCATGCACAATGATGTGCCGCCACCGTCCATCTCAGAACTTTTCTCCTTGTGCAAAATAGAAACTCTGTGCCCATTAAACATTAACTCCTCTTTCTTCCCTCCCACAGCCCATCCTACTTTCTGTCTGTGATGTTGCCTACTCTAGGTACCTCACATAAGTGGAATCAAGCTGTTTGTTTCTGTTTCTGGCTGACTTGATCCCCTTAACGTAATGTCCTCAAGATTCATTTGTGGCATGCAGCACATTTTGTTTATCCATTCGTGTGTGGATGGACACTTGAGTTGCTTCTACCTTTCAACTGTTGTGAATAATGCTGCTATGAACACGGGTGCACAAATACCTGTTCAAGACCCTGCTTTTATTTCTTTTGGACGTATACCCAAAAGTGGAATTGCTGCATTATATCGTAATTCTGCTTTTAATTTTAATACTGTTTTCCTTAGTGGCTATACCATTTTACATTGCCACCCAACACTGTGCAAGCATTCCAGTTTCTCCACGTACTCACATCCTCACCATTTTCTGGTTTTGTTTTCCTGTTGGTTTTTTCCTGTTTTTGGAACAGCTATCCTGGTGAGGGTGAGGTGGTGTCTTATAGTTGTTAATTTGCATTTCCCTGATGATTAGTGATGTTGAGCATCTGTCTTTTCACATGCTTGTTGGCATTTATAGATCTTCTTTGGGGCGGGGCGCCTGGGTGGCGCAGTCGGTTGGGCGTCCGACTTCAGCCAGGTCACGATCTCGCACTCCGTGAGTTCGAGCCCCGCGTCGGGCTCTGGGCTGATGGCTCAGAGCCTGGAGCCTGTTTCAGATTCTGTGTCTCCCTCTCTCTCTGCCCCTCCCCCGTTCATGCTCTGTCTCTCTCTGTCCCAAAAATAAATAAACGTTGAAAAAAAAGATCTTCTTTGGGGAAATGTCATCCACTTTTTTGCCCATTTTTAAATGGGATTGTTTTTTGTTGAGTTACAGGAGTTCTTTATATATTCTGAATAGTAACCCCTTATCAGATGATCTGTGATTTATAGATACTTTCTCCCATTCTTTGGGCTGCTTTTTCCCTCTCTTGGTCACACCCTTTTGATTTTGGTGTCAGTGTATCTGTTTTTACTTTCGTTGCCTCTAAATCTTAGAATACTGAATACATGGCATATATGCCCCGAAACAGTTTTCCAGGTTTTATCATACCCTGTTTGTATTCTCCCCTTTCCTTGGAATGCCTTCCCATTTCTACCTTTGCACATTTTGCTCTGCCTAGTGAATGTTAGAGCTCAGTTCAAAAAGCTTTCTCCAGGAGGAATCAGGCAAAAATCATTGTTTCCACGGGTGTATTTCCCATATTATGTGAGCCTGTAATAGAAGTAGTTGTACTGCATTCTGTTATTAAGTTCTTTTTAATGTTGTCACCCTTTACTAGACCATGAACTGTTAAGGGACAGGAGTTCTCTTCTTGTATTGCCTGTACCTCAGTCAGTACTGGTGCATACTAAGCAATTGCATATATTAATTGGATAAATGGTATCATTTTTATTTCTAAACTCTTAAGCACTAATTTTAGTGTCTGAATGTAAAACAAAAAAACCTAGTACCACAATTTTTTCCTCTTTCCTGTATATTCTAAGTAGAGAACGAATCCAATTTTACAAGCCAGAAGACTCTTGTAAAATCTGTCACCTTAGTGTCAGTCATCGTTTGTTCAAAGAGCTTTCTTTGGTGGTTGATGCTTCCACAGCATTAGAGACACATACTCAAAAGGACAATCCACCTTTCCTCTTCCATTTCTTTCATTGACTATTCAAGAATTAAAGAATAGGTCTTTCATTCTTTGGGTCTCAGTTTTCTGTTAGTAAATGTTTTTGCTAATCATTTAAACATTAGGAAAAGTAGTTTTACTCTTAAGGAAAGGGGTGGGGATCCCCTGAGGCTAGATGAGTTTGATTTATTCTGTTACTTGTGAGCTTCCCGCAGCCTTTTTGGTGAGGTCTGACTGAGAGAGCTAACCTGTATCACTAGAGGTCACTGAGTCTTTTCTTTCAGAAGTGTAGAGGTGATACTGGTAAAAATGAGAGCAGGTTTATACTAAAATTGAGAAATGGATGCATCTTCTATAGGTTGAATATAAAGGAAAGTAACTTTTGATTTCTTTCCAAGGCCATGGAAATAGCATCTCAAAGGACCAAGGAAGAAAGGTCCAGCCAAGATCATGTGGATGAAGAGGTGAGATTTATTATCTACTCACAGGCTTAGGAAACACTGAGTTTTGTTTGTGTTTTTGTTTTTTGTTTGTTTGTTTTAAGGGCATGCTAGGTCACAAACTTGATTTTAAGAGAGAAGCAGTTTTCAAATGACTGTTTTCCTTGTGCATAATTTAACTGAGCCAGATTATATAAATACATTTCAGTACATCATTCCACTCAGCAGCCTATGAGACAATCTTTCTAGATAGAGAACTTTATTTACTTGAAGAATAATTGACGTGCAGTATTATATTACTTTCAGGTGTACAGCACAGTGATTCAACATTTATATACATTACTAAATGGTCACCACAATAAGTCTAGTTCCCATCTGTCACCATACATAGTTATTACAGTATTATTGACCGTATTCCCTATGCTGTATTTTATATGTGACTTATTTTAAAACTGGAAGTTTGTACTTCTTAATCCCCTTCACGTATTTTGCTCTGCCCCTCATTCTCTCCCCACCTGGCAACCACCAGCTTGTTCTCTATATTATGAGTCAGTTTGTTTTGTTTTTTTTAGAATCCACATATAGGTGAAGTCTTATAGTATTTGTCTCTCTCTTTTATTTCACTTAATGTAATACTCTTGAGGTCTGTCCATGTTATCACAAATGACAAGATTTCATTTTTTTTTTTTTACTAATAATTTCATTTTACTGTGTGTGTATGTGTATCCACATACATACATGCACTCCATTTTCTTTGTTGATGGACACTTAAGTTACTCCCTTATCTTGGTTTTTGTAAATAATACTTCAGTGAACATAGGATACATCTGTCTCTTTGAATTAGTATTTTTATTTTCTTTGGTTATATACTCAGAAGAATTGCTGAATTTTATGGTAGTTCTGTTTTTAATTTTTTGAGGAACCTCCATATAGTTTTCCATAGTGGCTGCACCAGTTTGCATTCCCACCAGCAGTGCATGGGGGTTCTCTTTTCTCTGTACCCTTGCCAATACTGATTTATTTTTGATACTAGCCATTCTGACTGGTGTGAGGTGATATCTCATTATGGTTTAGATTTGTATCTGCCTGATGATAAGTGATCCTGAGCATCTTTTCATGGGTAAGTTGGCCATCTGTGTGTCTTTGGAAAAATCTCTGTTCAGGTCCTCTGCCCATTTTTTAAATCAGATTGTTTTTTTGTTGGTGGTAAGTTGTAGGAGTTCCTTACATATTTTAGATATTAACCCTTTATTAGATGTATCATTTGTAAATATTTTCTCCCATTCGGTAGACTGCCTCTTCGTTTTGTTGATGGCTTTGTTTGCTGTGAAAAAGCTTTTTAAGTTTGATGCAGTCCCGTTTGCATATTTTTGCTTTTGTTGCCCTTGTCTGAGGAGACAGATGCAAAAAATGTTGCCAACACTGTTGTTTAACTTTACTGCCTTTATTTTCTTTTAGGAGTTTTATAGTTTTGGGTCATACATTTAGGTCTTGGCTCTACTGTGAGTTTATTTTTGTGTATGGTGTAAGAAAGTGGTCCAGGTTCATTCTTTTGCATGTGGCTTCCAGTTTTCCCACCACCATTTGTTGAAGAGACTGTCCTTTCCCCATTGTGTGTTCTTACCTCCTTTGTTGTAAATTCATTGACCTATATGCATGGGTTTATTTCTGGCTTATTTATTCTGTTTCCTTGATCTATGTGTCTGTTTTTGTGCTAGTGCTATACTCTCTTGATTATAATAGGTTTGTAGTGTAGTTTGAAATCAGAGAGTATAATACTTGAGATAGAGCACGTTTTTAAAGAAGTTATTGAAACATCTGACTCAAAAAGGAAAATCCTGTTTCAGTTCGTGACTGTGAATTTTAAAATGATTTATATGTTGATTTCAGTAACATTGTAGATTTTAAATATTTATGGTAAAAAAGAAAATTGTTTTAGCCTTGAAGATCAGTGGATTTTTTGTGAGTGTGATCCATGTTCTCACAGCTATTAGTGTGGTGGATGACTATAAGGCACCCTATATTTATCACCAATTCTGAACCCTTTTCACCATAGCACAGGACAGACAATATTTCTATGTAAGAACATGTTCCTTTGTAAGGCATAACCAGGGGCAGCACTTGCTAATGCAACTCCATTCCTTCCTTTCCCACTCAGAAAAGCTTTTGAGAATGTAAATGAAGGGAGAGAGGTGTTATTTTAAGGGTAACTTCAAATCATTTCATATTTTATTGTTAGTAACAAATTCCTTTTGGCACACCACACAGCAGATGTAAACACCAGTGTGTGCGGAGAGCCTGGCTGAAAATCAGTGTTGTAGATGACGATAGGTTCCTCTGTGACATGACGGGTGTGGGATGCTCAGTGAATGAGAGAAGCATGTGAATAACGCTTTTGGTTTTACTTTCCGTGTGTGTTAGGTGTTTAAGCGAGCATACATTCCTAGAACCTTGAACGAAGTAAAAAATTACGAGAGGGATGTGGATATAATGATGAAATTGAAGGAAGAGGATATGGCCATGAATGCCCAACAAGACAATGTGAGTAGCTTGATTTGTATATAGCAAGCAAATTTACAGAGGAAGCTACTGTCACATACCTGCCTCTTGACTGTTGGCTTCTAATCTAGTGAGATGGCTAATTCCCTTTGCATTAACAGGTCCTTTCTGTGTATTGGATATAAAGGATGTTCACTGGCATTTGTGAAAAAATGACACATTTGAGTCCAATAGACAATAGTTGCAGAAAATTGAAGATATCTGTATAAGTCTAGGCTATAAATCATTATTATAGTGGGTCTGTTAACATATGTGTTTCAAGGTCTGGAACCTTTTTTTTTCTGTGAAAAAGCCAGATAGTAAATATTTTTGACTTTGCAGGCCAGGAAGCAAATTGGAGGCTATTATGTAGGTCATTATATAACAAAGAAAAAATTTCCCCAAGTATTTATTGATGAAATTAAAAGCTCTTTAATAATAATCAATTCCTGCTAATCACAATTCCTATTAATGAGAGAAGAATGGAGTTATTTGGGGGAGGAGAATACATTTCATTTAATTGAGATTCAGAGTTAGAGTTTTGTGTCATCAGGTTGGTGGCAGAGTTTCATCTGTAAAAACCATCAGGCTGTGGGTAGGTTGTGGGCAGGTTGTGGGCCAGAGTTTGCTCATGTCTCTTATGTTTGGTGGGGAAGAATAATTCCCACCAAGAATAAACTGTGTGTTAAGAGGAGATAAATTTTAGGCTCCTTTTAATAATCACAGAAGGTACCGGTCAGCTCCCAGCGTTCTTCCATAATATTACAGGGTGTGTTCTTCACAGCATAGGTTTATGTTGACTCTTCTTTTTTGTCTCTTTGGTTATAAGATTCTGTACCAAACTGTTACGGGAATGAAGAAAGATTTGTCAGGAGTTCAGAAGGTATGAGAACATGTGTTGCTGTTCACTTACGTGAATACTCCTTTGGAGGGTATAAAACTTGATGTATACTAGAATTAAATTAACAGTGGTATTATATTAGTATAGATCCTTTCCAAGTTCATGGGAATTTTCAGAAATGCCCTTTTTGTGTTCATTCTTTTAACCCTAAGACTGAAATTTGGGAATTTACGGTTTATTTCTCATTCTGCCTCCGAATTGTTCTATTGTTGCTGAGGCAGTGATATTTTTTATATCCTGGTCTTCATTTGTGAAATTATTGATGATAGCCATGTATTTCTTAATGTTTTTACAGTCAGCTTTAAAAAAAAACAAACACAATGGAATCTGGTCTCCTACTGCTTTATAACCTGTTGAAGAGCAATCTCCTCATGAGTCTGGCAGTCTTATACTGCTGGATTCCTTAGGGGTTTTTTCTTGGAAAAGTCTTGTTTTATTTTGTTTTACATTTCAGGATGGTGCAGATTAATTCTAATTAAGCAGTAGTAAATAAAGGCAGTTCTTGTTATTTTAATGTTCTTAACTAAAGGCTTAAATGTGAAGGATCATAGTTTGCTTTTTGAAAATTTGATGTGTGTTTGTTTTTGGAAGAATCAAATTAGGAAAACTCACATACTCACTGTGTGTTATATATAGCAAGTGTTACAGGGCTGTTGTGCCATGAATTCCAGGCCAGGAACATTTTGTTAAAACTGGCTAGGAAACCTTTTTGTACAGTTCCCTTTTAAAGTTTACTTTTTATTATAAAAAGAAAACCTCTTGTTCTTTAAAAATGCTTTCTGGGGGCGCCTGGGTGGCGCAGTCGGTTAAGCATCCGACTTCAGCCAGGTCACGATCTCGCAGTCCGTTGAGTTCGAGCCCCGCGTCGGGCTCTGGACTGATGGCTCAGAGCCTGGAGCCTGTTTCCGATTCTGTGTCTCCCTCTCTCTCTGCCCCTCGCCCGTTCATGCTCTGTCTCTCTCTGTCCCAAAAATAAATAAACGTTGAAAAAAAAAATTAAAAAAAAAAAAAAATGCTTTCTGCTAAAACTTCTAAATGTCAGAAAAGAAAGTCTCTCTTGTTTAAATATTGTTTTCCCTTTTGATTGACAATAAATTGTTGCTTGAAATCGTATTTATAGGAGCTGTGAGATTATCCAAATAAATCTTTTAATTCTTACTTCCATCTATATTTCACATTTTTCGATATTCCAGCTCAGTTCTGTCTTTGATCTGAGTCACCCAGGAAAGCCCCAGTTCCTTCATTTGGGTATGTTCTTGAGCCTCACGAGATGGGCTGTTTTCTAGCTTCTGCCCTGATGTTCTGTTGTTTTCGATGCTTCAGTACAGGATGTTGTTTTTCAGTGTATATCTGCAAGGCTAAAAAATCTGAATTGTGGCTTTAACACATTTAACAATAGATAACTAAGTGGTTTCGAATGACATGGTTTTGTAATATTTTCAAGGTTCCTGCACTTCTGGAAGATCAAGTTAAGGAAAAGGCTTGTTCTGATTCAGATGATGCTGGAAGCTCTGAGTGTTCTGACACAGACTCTGAAGAGCAGGGAGACCAGGCCTGCTCCAGGAAACCCACTGCTGACCCTGAAATTGATAAAAAGGTTAGTGAGAACTCAGATTCCCTTGTTCTTCAATGTGGCAGCAAAGCCAGCCTCATTTCTCTTTGTTCACATATCTAGATTATGATGGCAGAAAATAGTATTGATCAGTAAGTACTTCCAGTTGTAGATCTAGTTTCTAAGTGTGAACTTTGCCTTTGGAAGTCACACCGTTTAGGGATTGGACTGCTCTTAAGAGGTCCCTGGGCACTGCCTAGAGAGAAGGACACACTGAATTCATTGATCAGAAATGATTGTAATTCACTTGAAATACAAATGATGTTGGAGTTGTCCCATGATGAAGTATTGAAACGCCATTTTACAGGGGATTTGCAGCCCTGCCAAGTGTTGCCAGGATCTAAAAGACTTACTCCACTCCTAGCCATGGACAAGAGACACTACTGACTGAATGATACATGACTGCTGTGTAAATGTTACTCTTCATTCTTAGCTTGATCCTTTAAACCTTACAACATGTGGGTCCTAAGACTTCTGAGAGACATACCGAGCTCACGTGCACAGAATTTTCTCTTTCAATCTACTAGAAATGCTTAGTCTGTTTCCAACCTTTATTTCTCTTAGAGTATGAAACTTGTGAAGAAAATTAGTTGCAAACATTTAATAATCCTCCCAGATATTTCTGTTTGGCAGTCTTCAAATTTCTTTCTCTTTTCTTTTCTTTTCTTTTCTTCTCTTCTCTTCTCTTCTCTTCTCTTCTCTTCTCTTCTCTTCTCTTCTCTTTTCTTTTAGAGACAGGGTGTGGGGGAGGAGCTGAGGATGGGGGGAAGAGACAGAGAGAGAGAGGGAGGGAGGGAATCTTAAGCAGGCTCCATGCTGGGCATAGATCTCAGGATCCTGAGATCATGACCTGAGCAGAAATTAAGAGTCACTTAACCGACTGACTAATCTAGGTGCACCTGGCAGTCTTCAGGGTTGTTTTTTGTTTTTTGTTTTTATTTTTTTTTTAGTCTTTATTTTTGAGAGAGAGACAGAGTATAAGCAGGAGAGGAACAGAGAGAGAAGGAGACACAGAATTCGAAGCAGGCTCCAGGCTCTGAGCTGTCAGCACAGAGCCTGATGCAGGGCTTGACCTCACGAACTGTGAAATCATGACCTGAGCCAAAGTCGGACGCTTAACCGACTGAGCCTCCCAGGCACCCCGTTTTTTTTTTAATGTTTATTTATTTTTGAGAGAGAGAGTGAGTGTGAGTCAGGGAGAGGCAGAGAGAGAGGGAGAGAGAGAATCCCAAGCAGGTGCTATGCTGTCAGAGCAGAGCCTGATGTGGGGTTCGAACCCAGGAACCCGGGAGATCATGACCTGAGCCAAAATCAAGAGTCAGACACTTAACCAACTGAGCCACCCAAGTGCCCTGCAAATTTCTGTTAAGAAACTCCAAAGACAAATTTCGAATGAAATTTCACTACCAAATCATAATCATTTTCATCTAGTTATATTCACTTCTATCTTTTCACATATATTTTTTTATTTAGTTGTAATAGTAAAGTTAATACCCTGAACAAATGAAGTCTGCAGGTTCTTTTAGTTTATTTTTGTTTTTTTACAGGAAAGAAAAAAGATGGTCAAGGAAGCCCAGAGAGAGAAAAGAAAAAACAAAATTCCAAAACATGTGAAAAAAAGAAAGGAGAAGACCGCCAGGATGAAAAAGGGCAAATAGAATCAGAACGCCACAACATAAGAGTAATTTACCATCTGTCACTTTTCTCACCCACGCTGTGAGCTATGAGCTGCGTCTTGAAGACGTGCTACTGATTTTAACTGAGGTTATCACGGCAGTGTCGTGAAGACGGAGTTACGTGTTCTCATCTAATTATGTAAAAAGCTCTAAACTCTCTTATCTAGACCCAGTCACTGCCTCTGTGTGGTATTGACAGAGGATTTATTTAAGCAACTATATGAAGAACTTTGTACAATTTTATTTTTATATGTATTTTTTTCTCCTGCAGTGTGTTTTTTGAGGCATCATAAATGTTACAATGTAAGTGTAAAGGCAGTTTGGACAGACTTGGCAGATTGTATTTGCTTTGTTTGTACATGCCAGAGACCCATCTGAAATCATTTGATCACAGGGCCACGGTTTCTGTAGAAGGGAGTTTCCCTTCGAAGAGAATTCACATGGCTGTTGACATAATCATTCACTGCAGCTGTTACGACCGTGAGGTATGCATTGATGCTCATTTGTGATGCACTTATGCATCATCTCTGATACTCTTGAGTTCAGACATCCCAGTTCGTAAGCTGTTTCACACTCTGCTGTTTGGCCTGTTCATTCACTCATCAAATATTTGAGTGGCTCAGGTGCTAGGGATACAGAAGTAAACAAAACCAAAAAATTACTACCTTCAGGTAGTTTACATTTTGAAAGGAAAACATTAAACAAGTAAATAAAAAACAGTGTCTGAGTAGGTGGTGAATTCTGTGGAGAGAAAGGATGCAGAAAAGAGAGAACTCCTGGGGAGGAAGGAGGCTGCCATTGTCAAACAGTCCACACTAAGCAGCTACCTTTGAGCAAATACTTGAAGAATGTGAGTCGTGTGCATATTCAGAGAGAAGGGTATTCCAGGCACAACAGGTGGGAAGGCCTTGAGACAGAAGTGTGCCTGAAAGTTCTAGAAACAAGAGACTCCCATAACTGAGAAAGAGGAGATCTGATGGTGCCAGGCTATTAGAAGGTTTTGAGCAGAGGAAGGATACGATCTGACTTGGGTTTTGGGAGGATCTTGATCTCTCTAGCCTCTGTGGAGTCCTGAGTAGGAAGCAAGGGTGGGAGACCAGTGGGTGGTTACGGTGGTAGCCCACGTGAGCGATGGTGATGACTTCGTCTAGGATGGTAGCAGTGGACTTGGAGAGAGCAGTGGGATTCTGGGTGTAACACAAAGTGGAGCAACCCTGATGTGCTGAGGGGAGTATGTATCAGGCGTGTGACAGACAGTGAGGGATGACTTCAGGATTTGTGACCCAAGCAACTGAGAGACTGTTGGAGTTGCCACTTCCTGTGTTGGGAAGGAATGTGGCTGGAGCAGGTTTTGGGGGTAAGAGATGAGATAAAAGCTTACATTGCAACAAAGCACAAAGGTCAAAAGAAATTAATTTTTTAGAAATGTCTGTTTTAGCCCTTGCATCAGAAACAGTTGCTACAAATAAGCTTAGTTTACCTTAAACTGAAGCTTGCACCTGCTTGTTTGAAGATTGGTGGGCTAGTGGGGGTGGTCAACTAAGCTTTTAAAATATTAGATCACATTTATTATGTTCATACGATCTTCTCCCTGACTTCAAAAAGTTCAAAATGCAAAATGTAATTCAGTGAAATACAACAGCCCCTCTAAAATATTCTACAATTAACCAAAGGGAAAGCAGAAACAGACTTAACAATTCTATACACCTTTGAGGGTTTTATCTTCAGGATCTTCCTTATATTGTATTTGTTTGGTCTTACTCTCTGACAGGGTGTATTTGAAGGGGCCAAGTTTCTCAGTGCTATCTTTTGGTGAATCTAATGTAATTATGAAGTTTGGAATCAATTTCTCTTGGGCAGAAGTAGTGTCAGCAAGATACAGGGACAATTCCTTCTCATTTGCATTGCTTCCAGGAGGAAGTGGCTTGTAAAATACCAAAATTTGGGACTATAGGGAGATTCTAGGGGGTGTCTGGGTAGCTTGGTTAAGCATGAGGGTCGTGAGTTCAAGCCCCAATTTGGGCCCCGCGCTGGGCATGGAACCTACTTTAAACAAAGGGGGGGGGGTAGATTCTAATTTGAGGAACATTTTTCTAATAACTGTCTTGCTGATAGGCTGTTTACCTGTTTGGATTTGTGGGCCACTGGTAATATTCATGGCAAACTTGTCTGAAACTGTATGTCCCCATTCCTGTCTTTCTCACCAGAAGGCTTAGAAGAAGGAGTCTCTTCTTAGGCAGACTTCTAGAGCTATTTGCTGACTTCAGTTGCAATTGAATTTTGAGTGCCTGATAGGTTTTAAGTGCCCATGGATTATTGGTTGTACAGTTACTTTCCATCTGGAGGGATGAGGTTTGGGTCTTTGACTCAAAGGCTGGTACATAATTTTGTCAATTGTACGTGTATCTGATTTCCTGTCATATTTTGTTGATACTTAATCCTTTCAAATAATGTACTTTCTAAAAGTGTACTGTGAGAAATTTGGATAATTTCTTTGAAGCACAAAGTCACAGCTATCTCCAGGGCTACTCTAGGTGTCATCCTTCCTGTGATGAAGCAGTTTGGGACCAGAACTTGCACAGGCCCAGATGCTCCAGCACTTGAGCACGGCCTTGCAGCAAAAAGACAGGAACTATGGTGGCACTATTTGTCTCAGTCTGACAAGTAGGAAACCCATGTTTCTGTGCTGGCATCAGGTTTCCTTTAGTTTTCTCTCTCCTTGATGAAGATGGACTCAAGAGGTTGGAAAACGTTTTGGTTTGGTACAAAGGGTTGTTTCAGATGGTCTCTCCTTTTCAAGAATGTTCTGTTGAATTCAGTGTGAGCAGCTTGCTATTTCTTGGTAGTGGGCCTATCCTGTTTTGTGGCTGTGATCTCATTAGTCTTTTGGATTGGCAAATGAAGAGTTGAAAAGTTCTAAAAGCTGGTAAAAGAAAAAATTCGGTTTAAGGACATCTCAAACGTCATGGGCTCCAAAGGAGGACATTAAAATCTTTTTGTTTTCAAAAGCTTGACAGGTTTTCTAATTTTTAGTTGTTTATACACACAGTAAGTAGAGACCATGCCCGTTCAGAGTTCTACCTTGACTTCTGGGGGTTACTTTGTCATGGTGAAAGAGTTGCACTGATCAGCATCTCCTCAAAGTATAGTTTCCCAGGAAGATGTTTTATGAGCACATCAGATGGACACAGCTTTCAACCATGGGTAATCATTAAGCAAGAGCTCTTTATGCTGTGTTTTGAATCGATTAAGTTGTCACAGTCCCTGCATTTCGGTTGCAGTTTATAACTTCTGTAGCCTTTGGGTTTGTGTTGCCTTGGACATAAAGACTTTTGTAAATGCCCCAGGGCAAATTGGAATGCTGGGTATCAAATCATCTAAGCTAGTTTCTGAAGGAGAAGATGCCTTTCTTGCACCTGTGTTCTCCATGCATCTTGGTCCCAGTTACGGAAACCTCTGGACTTGAATTTGAGGAACCAAGACTTGAATTGGTGGAATTCTTGACTTTGGTTTTCAGCTTTCCTTCATCTTCTGTGTCACTGCACATCGTGCTTTGAGTGCTGGCGGGCCATGAGTGTGAGAAGGTAGCTGTCCTACAGCTAGAGTAACCACACAGCCACATAATCTTTGTCCTCATTCCCCCCCCCCCCAGAACGGTAAGGGGGTCATCTAGTGTGTGAGCAGAGCTACTTGTAGCTCTCTGAGACGCTTCCATGTCTCATGAGTGCTACTTAGTAGTTTTTGTTTGTTTGTTTGTTTGTTTAGTAGTAGTTTTGTTTAAAGGCTGATCAACCTCATCCTCTTTGGATGAGATTTTTAACCTGTGTAACCACTGTATGTGACCATCATGGGGTTCTAGATTTGTCGTTGAAAAAGTGTAGGTCCTTGGGGCCAAAGAATTGTTGGAGTCACAATACTACTAGAGTGCAGAAGTTGGAAAAACAGAGGAGGCCAGAGAAAGGTATGTTTAAGGTCATACTAATGGAAAGTTGCCCTTGGACATATCTGCGGTACAGCCATGGGTGGGAGTGGCCACGGGAGGGTAACAGACAAAAGCATTGAAGGCCGGAAGGCCAAGGAACTGAGGCTAGGGCATGGCAGGGCCATCTGTGTTAGGACAGGCCTAGTTTTAGAGTGTCTGTAGGAGCCCTCCTTCAGTCTTCAGGGAGAGAAGGGAAGTGAGCCGGGAGGGCGTGGCACCGATGCTTGCCACTTGGAGGGGAAGTGAGCAGTGTCTGATGACATGAAACTAAGGGTGGCAGGTCGAGCAGTGCCCCCAGGAGAGCCAGAGTTTAAATGCAGTAAGTAAAAGGGAACTCTCAGAGGAGATGCTGAGGACACAAGGCTCTTGGTGTCTGACAGCGAGTTCTGAAAGGCCCCGTGGGAGTGTTTCAGGACTTAGAAAGGGAAGGGATCTATTTGAGCTCAGGTGCAGGCCAAGCCTTGGTGGTGTTGGCGGCTTCAGGTTCTCAGAACCTGATGCCATGAAGTAGACAGATGCGGCGACCTTTGTGGAGATAGTAGTGGGGCCCACTTCACAGAGTTCCTGTGAAGGACGCTGAGGAGAGCTTGGTGAGGGGTGGATCAGGCCCTCAATGCCTAGACCCATTGCTCAGTCACTGAAAGTGGAACAGCCAGACACGTGGGCGCTCCTGTTGTGGAGTAGGAAAAAGCTCAACACAGCCACCTGTGAAGTATCTTGCCTCCTACAGAAGCCACTGAGCCTGAATCCAGGTAGTCTCCAGATGTGGTCAGCGGTTATAGGAAATACACAGCACACAGGGGCTGGATTAACTGAGGCTGGGAGGAATCAGTCATCCAAATCCAGAGTCAGAATATCTGTCAGGGAAAAAGGAAGAAGAACTATTGCAAAAAGTGAAAGAAATCTAAGAGGCATGCATGCCAATGCTGGGGACGTCGTTTGGATCCTGATTAGACCAAATCAATTTTAAGAAGATGGGCTTTTTTTGTTTGTTTGTTAG